AAGTAATGTTATTGGAGAGATACAAGGGTTTACTCTGGTGGGATCTACTTGGAACCATAGAAATCGACGAGGAGGAAGAGGCTTTGGAGGCATTGCTACTTTCATCAGATCTGAACTTCTTCCTATGATACATTTGGAAAGCCAAGATATTGGGAAACAATATCATTGGCTTCGTCTTGGATTGATTGGAGTATCTTACAGTTATTTGGCAGTTTGTTACTTTGCACCATTATCCATGCAGATCTACTCCACAAGCACTTGCAATCAAAGTCAACCATTCCATCGGCTCATAAAAGATGTTCTCAAATATCAAGACAAAGGTGAATTTTTTCTTGTTGGAGACTTCAATGCCCGCATACGTTCCGCTCAATTTACACAGTTTGATAGTTCCTTGTCTTCTCACTCTTTTGAAGAAAGTAGAAATAGTTTGTGGTCTAGAGTCTCTTGTGATTCTTGTATAAATGATTTGACTGAGCATTTCTTGACTTTTGGAGCCACTTGTAATCTGAAAGTTCTCAATGGTGTTTCTTTCTTTTCCAACTCTCACTCCAATAATTGTTTTTCCTCTACATGTGTTAGCACTATAGATTATCTTTTGTCCTCTGCCACTAATAGTTCATTTATCTTAGCGTTTGATATTCTAGAGCCTCAATCAGAATCAGATCATACACCTCTTTTATTTACTCTTTTGTTGTCAACGTCAATCCCTCTCCCTACATGTCACTATGTTTCTACTTCCCCCAAGTTTTGTTTAGATGCTAGTAAGAAGCAACTTTATAGTGAACATTTCCAAGACCTCTTGACTTGTACTACTTGGAGCCTTGATCCACATACATCTAGTTTGCAACTAATTGAGTTGCTCCTAAACTCTGCTTCTAAGTTCTTTTTGAGACATAAGACCAGGAGAGCTAGAGGTCTTCCTTGCAATGGATGGTTTGACTTTGATTGCAAGCAAGCGAGGGCGAGATCATTTGATAAATCCTTGGATCTTCACAATCGGTTGATTATGACAAGACTTTACAAAGACTTTGTGAAGTCCAAGAAACGAGCATTTTTGAGGCAGAAGCAAGAGTGCTTGACAAAGGAGCTCTTGGAGAATCCCAAATCCTTTTGGAGGCGGTTGGCAGTACGATCTTCTAAACCTACTCTTGATCCCAAGTCTTTGATTTCTTTTGCTGAAAAGCTTTATTTTTTTCCCAATGTTGCATCTATGCCACATTGTGAAGGAAATCCGGGCTTATTTTCAGAAGTTGAAGTGATGACTCAACTCAGACAATTGGCAAATGGTAAATGTGAGGATTTGGATGGGCTTTCCATTGAACTTCTCAAGTGGGGAGGAGATGCTATTGGGCCTATACTCACGAAAGTGTTAGAGTATGCTGCTATTCATGGCTTTCCTTCATCTTGGTCTCTACGGAAGATTGTTTCTATTCACAAATCTGGGAGCAAGGCCTTGGTGACAAACTATCGCACTATCATGGTTGGTAGTATTTTTGCCAAGTTATTTGGCAAATTGATGGAGTCAAAGTTGAGCACATGGGCTGAATCTTGTCAGAAGAGAGCGCGGTTCCAAGCTGGTTTTCGTCCTACATTCAACACTATAAACCATATCTTGGTTTTACGTGTTCTATGGGAGAAATCCAAGGGTAATGGAAAAGCTTTGTTTTGTGCCTTCATTGATTTCAAGAAAGCTTTTGACGCAGTACCTCGTGAGCTTTTATGGCAAAGATTGCAAACCATTGGAGTACCATCAGATCTTTTAGTAGCGGTGGCTGCATTATACCACTCAGTTCGGGCCAAGATCAACACTTCTCAAACCGAAGAGATTATCAGCACCATTGGAGTCATTCAAGGTTGTCCTCTCTCTCCCACTCTCTTTGGAGTTTTCATAGATGATATAGAAAGGTGGTTGGAGGATTGTGATAGCGAAGGTGTTAAACTTGGAGGCTTTGTCATCAAAGCTCTTTTGTATGCAGATGATGTCATATTACTAGCATGTGATGCCACTAGTTTACAGAAACACCTTGACACTTTGGCTAGCTTTTGTACTCAAAATCAGATGGAAGTCAATTTGGAGAAGTCCAAAGTCATTCTTGTGGGCACTAGATCCAAGCTCTCTTTCTGTTACAAAGGATTAGAGTTGGAACAAGTGAAAAGTTACAAATATTTGGGCATTGATTTCTCATCTGATTATAGTTGGGCACTTTGTGTGCAAAAGAGGGTAGAAGCTGGTTTCAAAGCTCTATATTCATTGCTAAATAGATGTAGAGGAGCTCATCTAGTGTCTTGGAGTCTTAGGAAATTCTTATTCAGGAGCTTAGTGTTTCTCGTTATCTTATATGGAACACAAGTGTGGGGTCCTGGTTGTAAGAAGACAGGTTGGCAGCATTTGGAGAGGGTGCAAAAGATCTTCTTACAAGAAGAATTGGGTGTGAGGACCCAAACTTCTTATGCAATTCTTCTTGCGGAAACAAGTTGTCTACCTCTTGAGGCTGAAGCTCTCTTTTTGACTATCACTTACGTCAAAAGAGTGAGATCTCTTGATGCTTTTCGACTTCCTCTTGAAGCTTTGCGTGGCACACGTCCCAAGGGTTGGTTTGCAGATGTGGTGACATGGTCTTTGAGGTGGAATGTGACGACACTCGATTGGAATTTGCAACCTATTGCCCTACGCGAGCGTATTAAGGAGGAATTTCTCAGCATTATGTGGAGCAGGCAAGGCACCAAGATGCAGTTTTGTCAACTTCATGTGAATCATATGCTTGTTTATTGTGAGCAAGGATACTTACTTGCAGAGATATCTACTTCTTTACGTCATATTATTGCTAGACATAGAACAGGATCTCATAGTCTTGGGATTGAAGAAGGGCGTTGGTTGAACATTGATAGGAGTGAACGTATTTGTAGGCTATGTGATGGAAGAAAAGTTGAGGATGAAGAGCATGTATTTCTTACTTGTACTAGGTATGTAGAGATAAGAGTGGCTCATAAAGTTGTTGTTGAGAATTTTTATTCTTTGCTTCAGTTTGAACCTTATGATTTAGGTTGTTACATTAGGGATGTTATTAGTTACCGTTCTAGTGCTTTGGACACTAGCTAGGGGGTTCTTTTGGTTCTCTCCTTGTTTGGAGTTGATTTCTTTGTATTGTGTTTTTTAGCCTTTTGACCCTTTGGGTCCCACGGGCTTGATCTATTTACCATTACCATCATGAGTTTCTTTTGACATCAAATTGAATTCTGATCTAGAATACAACATTGCCTGTATGCTCTTTTAAGCCCCAAGTAATTGTACTTTGATCTTCGTACATGTCTTTGTACAATAAAGCTAATAAAACTTCCATAGTTAAATTAGACTTCACCTTATGAAAATTGACATTAGCTTGCTGAAATATCTTATTTACATATACATTTTTCATAGATTTATCTTTCTGGCTGCGCTTTTATACGCCATCGAAGTCTTGCTCATAGCTCAAATGCAAGAGAGAAGTTGCATCTTTCTAAATTCTCTTCTTTCTTGCTCTCTCGAAGATTTAAATTTAAAACTCTGGTGGTAAGTTTCCAAACACATGTTCATCTGTGAAGCCTTTGGTCTCTTGCTATCACACATTTTTAGCAATATCTTTTCCTTCTATAGTGATCTCAACCTCACAGATCAAGCAAGTGGCTTGATACTTTCTTTGCTACCATCTTGTTATCATCTTGCGATGTAAAGGCTTGAATAGAAAAATTCTGTCTTCAAATATGACGCATTTTCAGACAATTATCATGCTTATTCATCTGATTTAAAAGTGAAAATTGTTAATATACTATAACAAAGATTGATAAGAATAAGATATAATCTCATTTTCTACATTTAACATCGGAGATTGATGTTGAATGTAGAAAATTTGAACCTCAACATCTAAATTCATTTTGTTTTTTTTTTACTTAGTTCTTAATTGCATCTTTCATAAAAGATGATTATTACGTCCATTGTATTTGACAATGTCAAATCTAGTTATATTAATCTTCAATATAAAATTTTTATTAAATCCAAATTAAAGTGATGTTTTATGAAATGTATAATTATTTTTACTTATATGAGAAAATCAGAAAACCTAAGAAAGATAAATATAAACGATGTCAATCATGATAAAAATGAAATATGATTGCCCTGAAGTAAATACATGAGAAAATATACTTCTTTAGATTTAAAAATCTAAAGTTAAAAAAGTAGTGGATTAAGTTTTCAAAAAAAAATCAACTATGTTGATTAATATTTCCATTTATTAAATCATGTGCATTGCTCTTATAAAATTTTTTTCTGATTTACTTATAACATTCTAGCAATATCTTTTGACTATTTCTCATTGCTAATTTATATTATAACGGGACTGTTAAATTTACCCCCCAAGTTATTAAGTTTTTCCTCCCACTCTAATATCCTCTGAATTTCTCATGTGGGGGAGAAAACCCTCACTTTTTGTGGTCAAATGGAATGTAAATCCAGATGAAATGTCAATTATTTCTCAGACCCAAATTGCTTCATAATCACTGTAGAGAGATTGTCGGCTTCTCTCTATAAGAAGCTTTACTTGTACAACCGAATGCTTCCTGAACGAATGAGGTAAGTGTACAAATTTTTTTTTAAATTATTTTTTATTATTGTTCTTTTCTGATATTATGTTTTGAACTGTTTTGAAATATTACTCATATGTATATAAATTATTTTCTTCACATTCACAACGTATTATATAGAGATGAAAGACATATAAATGTTCCTATTTAACATTCTTTCGGTATGGTTTTTTTCGCTTAAGATTACTAATATTTACATGAAAAAATATTTAGATAAACTATGAGATACACATTGATTGAATTCTTAACTTTCCGAAAATATTTCGATAAAAAACGAACGGAATACATTAGCCATTACCGTTCAGCTAACGTATCATCGAATATATATCAAGTAATATTTGAGCAACACAAATTGTCATACAATTTACGTTGATATAAAAAGGCAAATTCGTGACATAATTTTATTTCAAGCTACTCTATACACAAATTTTCTTCCGTGCGGCATTTTCTTCTCAGGCAAGAAATCTAACTCGGTTTTGTACATCTGCAGTTCGAAACATTTTATAGGTGAACAAATCGTTCAAAAGGATGACTACTGTTTTTCGACATCAGGTAACTAAACTCGCAATTGTACAAATCGGAGTGGGCAAAATGTAGTGTGAAAAATGTGCAAGCGAAATTTAAATTTCGAACGCACTGCTCATGTCCTACCTACTGAAGGTTGTTGTAAAGTGATTGTCCATCCATAGGTCCTCTTGCTGACGTAAATCCTCCCTTATCATCTTTCTCATTTCCAGCGTAATGACCCACCAGCATAGTCTCAGCCAAAATATGTCCCTCCATAGCTTCCACCAACTTTTCTTTCGTCGCCTGTTACAAATTCACAGTAGGTATGAAGTTTTAGTATATGTTATAAAGCAGCTGAACAGGTGAAAAGAGATAAAAACTAAGAAATTCGAGTCTAAACATTTCTCTTTTCTTTCTGTTTTACAGTTCATGTGTACCAATATTTCAATATTTGACAAATTCTATTTTCCCAACGATACAATTTCCGACCCACACATATTACGAGAAATTCTTCTTCGATGTTTTTTTTTTTCAAGATTATTCTGCTTTATCATTCCCGACTTTTTACTCCAGACTCAATACATTGACAAATCGCATTGGACGCTGGAAAATTGTATAGTCGGTGCATGTGGTTGTGTAGAAAAACTGCTAGTGTAGATGCTAGTAGAAGTGTGTAGCATACCTTTTTGCCGAGATTCATTTTGCTGTCGAGTGCGTACACTCTAAACTCAATTCTCTGTTCGCCTGTGGGAGGGCTGGGGCCTCTGTACCCAGGTACCTTGAAGTCATTCACGCCCTCTTGGATGTCTCCATATTCTTTCTGTCCTTCTACATCCTTGTGATGGAATCCTTGTGGTAACCCTGCAGGGAAATTCAAGTTTGGTACAAGTCAGTCCACTGACTATGAACGAAATATACGAGAGTATCGGCTACAGCCTATGATAGACTTGACAATAACTAGGATCCTCATCAGATCAATGTTCCATAGAAGATTGACAAGTGTTTAAAAACGGTAGATCAAGTAGTAAAGCAAAAAGTATGTGAAGAGCCCCATCAACCCGTAGAGGGATGCAAGCAACAAGGTGCAACTTGGGGCTTGGTCCCATTAGCATGTTGGATAGAAAAATGTTACCTTTCAGAGTAGGAGGGATGTTCACTACCACCCTGCACGCATGAAGTGAACGAAACAACGGTTAGATCAATTAGTGTGCACGCTTCCAAGCATCCACATCATGAAGGCTAACCAGTGTTCTCACATAAACTAGTCCACTTCTTCTCAGAAATGCTTACATGAGGAATGTAACCTCTCACAGTCAAAGAGACTCTACTGACTGCAAGGAGTTAATTAAAACCACATACTTCTTATATCTTCTGTGATCAACCACACCTCTTTCTGCTAAATCCTGACTGAAGTGCAATAAGTAATGAGGTTTCCATACTAATACAAGAATACTTCGCTAAGAAGCATGAGATGACGTTACTATAGCAGATTCCCATTGCAGACTAGAGGTGGACATCATATCCAGCAGGACAGAAGAACATTCCTCTATCCAAGATTCCGCCCGCCTTGAGTACATCACAGACTCCCCAAGTCCACTGCCAGTGGTTCTAGCGAGGAGAGTATGACGATCTAGACAAGGTGATCCTAACATCTGAGCAGCGCTTCTGCGCTGCTCACCTAACAAGCATATCTACGGACAACCCACGGATAGAGCGGGATTTCGCATTTTGGTCTGAGTGCAGCGGCAGTGCAGAGCGTGGAATTTCTATGGGCTGATTCTGAACAACAGCTACTTATCCAAAAGCCAAAAGTCCACACTGCGCTGTTCGCTGACCTCGTTCTATTTCTTCGTGCAGCATCCCAGTCCAAAGACCTGTGCAAGGAGGGAAGACGCAGGAGCCGTGGAGGTAGTGAGAAACGTACCAGTGGACGAATGGGACCGTGCTGTCAGGAGACTCAGAGACATCCTCGCATATGATAGCCAGACTCTCGGTTTCTTCGGGCACATTGTGCCATTGGAGGGGCGGAGACATATCATGCTGCGCTCCGGCACCGTCGGCGGTGTGCTTGCGAGGAATTCGACCGTCATTGCCGAAGGCGGTCGATGTTACGCGGAATTCGTCAGCCATGATTGAGAAACGAAGATCGACGATCGGAAACTAGCCTACTGAGCGACCTTAGACCTGTGCAAATCTGAACTTTGGCCTCGGTACAAAATGAAGAAAGTAATATAATACTCCGAATGCGCAGTCGAACAACGATCTTCAGACTTTGATCGATCTTCAGCCCATCACCTCAATTATATATATGTCCGCGCAGCGACGGATCGATGGAACGACGATCCCATCTGCCATGGATCAGCAGCACGATCCTTGGTGGCAATCGGAGCATGAGTGACACCTGCCCCATCTGTTGGCGGCTGCCAAGTGGAGGTCGCGGTGTTCAACGCCACGCGTCGACACGCCAGTAGTGCTCGGACTTCGTCGACCGCTCACGGTTAACGGGGAATTGGCGCAGCCCAGACTGCGATGGAAACTGCGCTCTGGAAGCAGTTCTGGTCTCTGACCGGATGAACCGGGACAGGACAGGTGTACCGGTGTCCACCGAACCCTAAAGCAGCCTACACGATCGGGATTCAGGATGCTGTCCGCTCGACCTTCGTGTCCTCGTGTTCTCGGATAGCGATAATTATGACATCACTCGGAAAGTGGCCAACACGCTTCGACCTTTGCCTGTCAGATCGTCGCTTCCTTTGCACTGGAGAGTGCGTTCGAGATCACGGATAAGCTCCATCGCCAGCTCAGGGCATAATATCTGCTGTTTGAGCCGGCCATGAGTCCCACCCATCTCCGGCTTTCCGCTTCCACAGAAGGTGATCCTCGGTGAGGGCAGACGTTCCCATGATACATTCGCACAGTAGGTCTCAAACGAACAAGTCTCGGGCCCTGTTCGTAGCGCGTGTGTAAACGCAATCTCAATGTACCCTTGGAGTGTAAGGTTATGGTCCAATTTCTAGATCCTCGCTTTTGATTTCCTTTGTGGTGCTCTAAAGTGCTTCACGTTCTGAAGAGTCCATGGGAGTTCAAACCTTTTCCTTTCTTCATTTCTGTGAAGCCCCGTTCCAAAGCCGGGAGAGATTTCGTGCTAGCTTTTAAAGCACTGTAGATTTCGAACTGGGTGAAGACTTATGTCGCGACAAAGCACTTTAAATACGAAGTTGGTTCGAAAACTAGAATGTCTCGAAAGTTTTTGGGATCTCGAACTTGACATTTTCAGCAACTTGTACGAGGGTTTGGTAAGTAGATGTACATTTGCTGACTGACCCTTTATACATTCATTTTTTCTTTGCTAAGTTTATATATATTATGTAAAAGTTAACAAGAAATAACCTAAATTTTGTAGGAAATCTTCAAAAATTATAAACCTTATAAACTTAAATACCCTTAAAAAACGTTTGTAACAAATTTTAATAATCTAATCAATTAACTTGTATAAGAATTAAAGACTTACAATCAATGAAAAATCTATAGATGATATAGAAATTCTGTCACAAGAATGAGTTATTTGTTCTCCAGAACAAAAGTAACTCATTCTTACACGAAAACCTTATGATGAAAAGTTTTAAATCTGTATTATTTCTAAATTACAAATGTCCTGTAAAATGTTACCTTGTTTCATCTTTGGTAGTAGTAATTGCATTCGTTCCCGTTTTACACCATTTACAATCTAGATTTGAAATGACCGTTTACAGTAAAATAAAATACTTCTCGGGCATGCAGTTCTAAGTTTTTTCTGTCGTATAAAGTCACTTTAGAAATGTAAACATTATATGACTAGGCTGTGAAACTTAACATGAAGGGTTGAAGCTAAGATTAGGAGAGCAAAGTTCCCCTCTGAGCATTAACAAAAACCACTTCAATGCTTGTTGCTTCAGTCTTAACCTCCTCATTGGCTTTTGTTATCATCCATACGTCGAATACGTTCCCAAAGTCATACTGCTTAGAAATGTTGCTGAATCACGACATTCCTGTCATTTTCTGGTTGGTTGACAGCATGCCATAAACCTTTGCGTTTTCACGTTTCAAGGACCACGAACTGAAGCGCAAAGACACGAAGGAAGAAACAAGTTCGATGCAATTCAGCGAATTCACCATACAATGAACAATAGCTTGAATATCTTAGCATGCAGAGAGGACTTAGAGGCCTCCCTACCTCACTACTTACACCGCAGTACAGATAACTGTAGAACCTAAACGAGACATTAAAAAAGAGATCAACAGATGAGGATCAAACAAGGTGAAAGCAGAGTATGGAAAACCTTGAGTTCAAGCTGACAGTCTGATGTTCGTGTAACTTTGATCCCAAATGAAGGGGCAGCACAGAGAAAAAAGCTCCTGCAGAACTTGCCAAAGATAGTTTGATCGTCCATAATACACAGGTGAACCTTCAGGTCTAGGTTCACTATTCACAAAACTTCTCTAAAGACTAGTGCTCCAAAGTGACTGCTGACTTCCGCTTGAGTGACAGCTCCCAATTTGGAACCGTCTGTCACTCTTCTCTCTTCCTCTCCTATTTACGGGATAATTCAGTGACGATGATCTGTGTAACACGTGCCTACTGTTTCAAGTACCTCTACTTAAACAAAGACCTGCTCTTTTCAAAAGGCATGTATATTTCTCCTTCACATATTAAGTTGGACCCAACTAAAGGTACAAAAACTTTTAAGGCAGCATATGGGAGTGGGGATTCCACTAACAGCAGGTACCGTCATCATTGAGAAGAACAAGCTCATGATACCAGGCCCCATAGGACAATGAAACACAATGAGTTTGCACTCATGTAGGCTTGGAGAATAGATTAAGCTCCAAGAACGTGTAACATGACAGCATTTTGAGCGTGCATGCGGTTCTCGGCCTGCGGGAACACGATAGAGTTGGGTGCTTCGATTACACCATCAGTGACCTCCACCCCTCTTTCCGCAGGTAAACAGTGCATAAAGAGTACCTGGGGGCCTGCCTGCTCCATCATTTTCTCGTTCACCTGTCATTCGTCAGGCGATTGCAAAAATCAGTTGATATATGCTAGCCTTCGTCATGGAGAAATAGATAAGGTGGCTAGCAGGCGTTGTTTAACTTATGCTTAAAAGAAGAGGGGGTTTGCACCTGAAAGCCTTGAAATCGCTGCATTCTTAACGCAGCCTCTTCCTTTTGACCCATACTAGCCCATACATCGGAGTAAATCACATCTGCTCCTTTGACGGCTTCCATTGGATCATTCACTATGTCGATCTTCGCACCTTTCGCCCTCGCTTGCTCAACAGTTGTTGGATCGGGTTCAAAACCTCGTGGGCAAGCACAAACAAAGTGGATAGGGACGACCGCTGCAAACCGCAACCAAGAGTGTACAACGTTGTTTCCATCTCCGACATACACGACCTGCCCCACCCATTTATCAAGAAAAGAGAAAATCAACGAACTGACATTTTGCTGAAGTGATCAGGCTTGCACTGACAAACAAAATTACAAGTTAACCTGGAGAGAATCTAAATCTAAATCTATTAACCTTGAAGGACTAAACTGATTGCTTCACTTTGCGTTGGCTGCTCCTGTAACGATCACTAGTATATTACTCTAGAAAGGACGACACACAAGTTAAAAGTGCATGCACTTTATGGCTAAAAGTAGAGAAATATATGGAGCTCCCTTTACAAACCTTGATGTTGTCGATGTAGCCTTTGTGTTCAATAATAGTCAATGCGTCAGCCATTATCTGGCATGGATGATTGTAATCTGTCAACCCGTTGATGACCGGCACGCTACCAAACTTAGCCAGATCAATGAGGTCCTGAAAGAGCACACAGACATGATCCGATCAAAACCAATAACCACTTGCAAGTAGGGCCAAATATTAGAGTTCAAAATCACGTCTAATCAACTGCTTCATACAAAACAAAAAAAATTGCCTTGTGTTCAACAATTGTTATCACGTACTTTACGAAATGAGACCACAATGTGGTTGCTAGCAGGAACAAGACTGCAAAACTCATTGTGTGCATATCTTGAAGTAGTACGGATAAACATTCTCCAGTATATTCAATCGTCCAAGGAAGTCTGTGGTAGGGAGAGGTCTGTATATCTTGATCTGCTTTGCAGATCAGTATATACAGTTGATGAAGCATGACGAAGGCCAAACACCAGGCAACAATAACTAAGTAGTACAAGAAGAAACAGCACCACTCCTTGGTCCTTCAAAGATTAACTTCAATGAACATCTAGCCCAATCTCAACGCAGTCTTGACATTTCCACTTTCGGTAACACCGAGTTCCAACTGTCTTCGTAGGTATTCCAAACCATGCAGGAAGCGCACTCTCACGCCTTCGATGCTTCCTTAGAACCTGCGTTGCTAACTACATACAAAACAGCATACTTCACTGCATGCCTACGGCAGTTTCCACTGGCGAGGTTCTAAAAGTGACAAATGCACGTGAGCAAACGTGATGCTGCTCTTATATGGTAAACTAATCAACTATTTGCTTTATGACTAATCGTGGCCAGAGTGGAAGGGAATATATTATAGAAGAGCGTTCATTCAGGTGAAGAGATTTGATGGACTGTAGGAAGTAGATGAGCAAGAAACAACTCACACACAGCAGTTCATTCGAATAGAGGAAACCAAAGGGTTGGGGGTTGGGGTCGATATGCAAGAGATCTAACTGAGAGGAGAGTGTTGACAAGTGTTTGCATCAGCAAGACTTGTAACATCTTCCAAACTTCACCTTCGACCAGAAACCCATAAGTAGAACCATGATCAGAAACTTACGCGTTAAGTTGATGAATCTTTATTTCTGGCTGAAATATGAGATCTGAAAAACCGATTCTTCTTTAACCTGATGAAGGGTTTTTGAAAGTCGATCGACGACTACATCTTGTTACCAATTTATAAATCAAGTACGAGTCCCGACACAACAATAGTCATTATTGAACTGGCTTCATACATTATCATTTCCAATCTTAGTCAGTTGAATACCTAGAAACAAAAGTTAGAGAGAATCAACCAGATGAAAGAGCTGAAGTAAAAGCAAAGTAAAGTAGACAAGGCCGTAAGAATTCTCGTACCTTGTGTGCAAACAGGCGGGCCATGATCACATCGTTGTATCCTGACAGAACACGGGCAATATCTCTGGTTTCTTCCCGTTTTCCCAGCTGTATGTCATCAGGTCCCAAGTAGATGGCGTGACCTCCAAGGAGATGAAAGCCTGTTTCAAAAGATACTCGAGTCCTCATGGATGGCTTGGTAAAGATCATGGCCATAGTTTTCCCAGCAAAGGGCTTGAAACTTCTATCACCACTTTTTAGCTTAGCCTTCACCTCCGCGGCCCTCTCAAGAATATTCATTATAGTTTTGTTGTCGTAATCATCGATGTGAAGAAAATGCTTGACTCCTTGGCCTGCACAAGTTTTGCATTGTCTTCAGCAAATGATGGAAAAGGTCCCATGTTTTCAAGAACATGCAACAATAGAAACAAACAGAGGGAACGCCACAATTGTGAAGGGAGCTGAAGCGCATAGGCCACCAGTTGGACCACCTTCAGTTAAATAGGACGCCACATGGCTGATATGATATACATGAAACAATGACCGTGGCTTGATTGTTTGAATTTAAGGCAAGTGCAGATAAACCGATGAACGAGGCAGACCCTCTGCAACTCCATTCAGTGCTTTGAGCTAGTCTGAAGTTCGAAAGCGCTATGACTGTGAATAGTACCAGTCTCTAGTGATGAAAATGCGTGGACGGTCTCTGGTTTGAAACTAAAGAACAGGTAGCAATTGAAAATAGCCAATACCGATACCAAGACTTTGCAAGTTCCAGTTTCACATTGCACATGCATAAGCTGTGAAGCAACCACCCCCAGGCAGTGAATCTGCAAAACCCTTAACATCAGAAGGAAAAGCTATTACATCCCAAGTCTCAAGCCATCGAGGACGAGACAGACGACTCTAATCGGTTCACTAACGGAAACCAGCATGAAAGAATTTGGCATGTGAGTTCAACTCGAGCAAGGAACAGAGCACATCGGGAAAAAGCAGTCGTAAAAGACGGTCAGACTTTTACCGGCTTGAGACTGAGACACAGAAGCATCATTTTGCGTCGCAGTAGAGCTTTTGCACACGATCTTTCCACGATGAGAATAATCACCGCGTCTCTCAGAATGCAAGCGAACGACTGAAAGTCGACAAATCAAAGGAGCTCCGCGAATCTGGGAAGGCGCCAGAGGCGTCAAAGCCTTGGAGCTCCTCGGCGACGACACAAGACCAGCAGCAGCAGCATTGCAGCATGCGAGAACTCCACTTGCAGCAGCAACGACCCCCATTGCTCAATCCACCTCCTCCTCGCCCTCCTCAGACTCCCTCGGCAGGTCAATCTCAACTCACGCGCTAACTCTCTGCTGCTATCTCCACCATAAGCGATCAAAACTTTCCGCCTCTGAGAAACAAGAAAAGAAATGCCGGTCCTAGAACGCAAATGCTTGTTCTCCTCTCGCACAAACAACCAAGTGTCCGTGATTGTTTTCCTTCGCTTCCTTCCTTTGCTGCCATTCCCTGTCCATGGGCAAAACCCTCCCCTTCCCGTCCTCCTCCCCAACTTCCTTCACCAACTCTCCTCAGCTTTTCACGTCTGACTTGGGTACCGTACCCGAAACCCATACCCACGGCCCCACCCATGCTGCTGAAAAGTTCAGCATGCCATTACTTTACGGGAAGCTGTGGTCTCCGGATCGGGTCTTCGCATCCATTCTGCTATATTACTTGGTATTTTCAATGGGGAGGAAGCATTGAGAAGGCCTACTGGAATGCATCCCTATATCGTGGATTTGGCGCTCTCATCCTAAATCGATTTTGGAGGTTTGTTATAGAGTAGCTGCATGGGTTTGGACCGTGAAGATTAGGATCGCCACGGTTGGTCCAAGTGAGAGGATCTTGAAAATGCTATGAGTATCACGGGACATAGAGATATCTCCACGCTCTACCGCTACCTTTGGATCACATCTTGGATTTGCTCATGAGGACTTGCATGTACTCTTGGGGGTCTGGTATAAAGAATGCAAGTTATGGATATGACTTTGCATTATTTTATCACTTCATTCGAGGCCCTACATATCAACAGTCAGCACCCTTTGAACATCGAACAAGTGTATGGGTAGATTTTGATGGTCAAACATCTCGTGACGACCGAGTACAAATCTTCGAGCATGCCTCTCCTAGCCTTGGAGCAGGACGGCATTTTTCTTGGATTATACCACTCAAGACTGTCATGAAAGTCAAAGTTTCCCTAAAAACTGACAGAAAGCTTCAAGTATCAGCAACATATCTTTAAAAAAATAGCACTCCACATTCTTGACCTTTTTCATTTTCCTTATCAGCTCCAATGTTTCAAAAACAAGAAAAGGCTTTACGTAAATGATTTAAAATCTTCCGACCTTGGGTTGTCTTGTCGTGTCTTGTCTTACTTCCTTGTCATTAGAGAGCAACCTGCAACAGCGGTGCGGTATTCGGTACGAGAATGAACATAAACTGCCTCCACATCAGTCTGCACAAATGTCTGCTGGTATGCTTGCACTACTTGTGACGCAGTTCTCGTTTCATTCGGTCACTTCTCGTCTCATAGTTCTTCTCTGTTGACATACTTGCTGCAGGATGGTAGAACTGCATAACATTGAGTGTCAAAATCCCATTGATTTCAAGACTCGTGGTTAACTCCATGTTGTGATAAAAAGTGTCAAGTTCATGGAAAGCATTTGTCCTCTTCGACGACCTTCTTCCCGTGAACCCTCGTCAGTAAATTCTCCTCTGCAGCTTTTTCCTGCATCTTTTAATCTAGCAAGAAATCGAGCAGAAGAAAGATCACGAAATCGAGGCGACAAAATTTGGGTTTGTTGCAAGACCCCAAAGAAGAGAGACACATTATGAAGGAAGAACTAGGAAAAGATGAAAAGGGCTGGTCCAGGTCTTAAGCTCGAGAAACTCAGCCCAGTGCGAGGAGAGGGAAGGAAAAGATTTAGAAGTCACTATTTTCTTAGTACTACTAATCTGCAGCTGTGTTAAATGCCTTATCATAATAGCTTCAAGAGAGAAAACTAGCATTTGCAAATGACAAAGCATCACATGCTCAAATCACATCCTACAACTCCGCTCTCTTCAGTGGAGGCTATAAGCCTTGCAGCGCCACGGAACCGCGAATTTGATTGTGGATAAAGGAGTACAGTACTGTACATGATAAGGTAGAAAGTGATGCATGGCTCATTTCATGCTCAATAATCTCGTCCATCTTCCAAAACTCTTTCATTTCTATCTTCACGAGGATAAAGATTGTGTTCTCCTGCAGAGTAGAGCATTTATACATTTCAGATGAGTGCCCTAGTACAGCCGCAAATCCCAGTAGTAGTTTCGTTCATGCAAGTATCACATATGGTTTAAGATACATTGTAGTCTTGTGAAGGGAATGGCTAGTTATCCCTCACTTAGGGCTAATTAGCCTTCGTCCTAGTATAGGGTATTATCTAATTGATCGAACACTTTATAATTGCTACTGCATCGACCAATAAGAGAACTGAGTGAGTGCTATATAACCCTAAGTATAACTAATCGCTCACTCTTGTAAAAAATGAGGTTTGCTATAAATATTACATAAGAGAAACCGTTCTAGAGATAATTTCTCTCTGATATCCAGGAACGTATCTTTGATGAAGTTGTAATGAACTCATCATTGTACCTCTTACTTTGAGTCTAATGGGAGGATTATTGTGACGAAATACAAATTCACTCCCGAAATTCACCAATTTTGAGTTTGTTCTCAAGAGAGTGTAAAGATTTTACACAAAGATAATAATTGCGTGAGACTTATGTATATTTTTGGAAAGTCTGGACATTTGGGGTCCGAAGAGAAACCAAATTGATCAACCTTATGCGACCTATGTCTGGAGATTAAGACATTCAAACAAAAGTCAATAAAAAATCTTCCAATCAATTATTGGGATTTTGTTAGATCGAATCATCTTGACAATTTTAGAAGATGGATGCATATAAGTCGCCTTCTAAAGCTATTCTGAACAGCAATTTGATCAATTCATGCACAATCTCTTGGGTAACTTTACAGGGCTATGCGCAATCTACGTCAATAGAGAGTTGCTCAATTATGCTCTTTCATTACTTGTTCTATCCTATACTCTGTTAGTATTGACTTAGCTTTGAACTGAACTTAGTAGCTTAGCCCTAATTAGGATGAGGTTATGCTGTTCATCATAAAGGAGAGATCTCCATAGCTCTCCTCAAAAAAAAATTATTAATTTTATTTTTATCACTTGTTCCATCCGCCACGTCGAATTTCTCACTATGTTAGATTTTAATTTAAACATTTGACCTTCTTCGGGAAAATTTTAGGAAAATTTTAGGGAGAGCTTAAAGCAAAGAATATAACCTTTACTGTGTCCTTACAATGACTATTGTATTTACATCTGATAGGATGAACATCCACTTTGGTTACCAAATCGATTTGATAGGAGAAGTGGATATATGTCATATAGAGGCATCAAAAGCCTCGTCAAGTTTATTTTCTCGCTCTTATCTCTCATGACACAAAAGAGATTAGCGGGCTGACAAGTTGCTGAATACATAACAGGGCAGTGACAAGTCTAACCGATATGCTCCAAGTCAGAAACTAAATCTGGATTTGAAAACGTTTTACAAAATATTCAGTCTTCTTAATAAATTTGGCTGGTGAGAAAATCTGAAAGTCATTCATTTTCTCTTACCAATAGGAATATTTTGACCCCTTGCCAAAGGAGGTTATTGAGTTTCAAAAAATAATCTTAAGTGAACTTTCCAGAATATTGATTTAATTTTATAACATCAAACATCAAATCAATTTTTATATTTGTGTACGTAAATATGTGTATAAATACACAAAGAAATAAAATAATCCTTTTTTGGAAATATGTTGCTTTTTCTTCACATCCATGGGAATTAAAATATGTAATCGTTCATCATATTGTAATGAAGAAGTAAACCATAGTATTGATGGTGAGAATAAACTAGTATTACATATGCAACTAAATCCATAACGCATACAATTGAGACATAAAATTATTCTTGTACTAAATGATGTCAATTTCTTGTCAATTTCTACGAAGTTACAAATTATGATTGAAATTTCAAAGCTAAACTGGGTATTGTTGAAAGGATCGACTGTTTGAGCTTCTTCCAGTTATGGGGCTAGTAGTCTCACGATTGTGTTTGTTGTTATATCCTCCAGCTTAAGTTGTCCATTCTATGGTGTGTTATGTCATTTTTTCCCTCAACATGATGTTTTTTTCTCTGTGCTGTTGAGGAAGTAGATGCTGATTGCTTGAAATTAAATAGAATTCATTTTCCCCGACTCCAATCGCTGACTTTCACAAGCCAAAAAAATGTTAATATATATTGTTGGGTAGCTTTTCGATGATTACTGCGTCTATCGAGCCTCTCGGGATGTAATACCTCTACGGGCTAGTACTGGAAGTAAGAGGATTTCTTCAATGAGGTGATATGAAACTTACTACGAAGTGACAGGACAATTGTGACCAGAGTCAATCAAACGATTCTTAGTGAGTTCTCCAATACGTGATTTCTTGATTTTGCCCCTAAAGCTGTCATTCTTACGTACAAAATAACTTACTAATTCTTCATGATTTTGGACATACACCGTTTGATCACTATCAAATATTGACAATAAAACTTAACATGCTTGTCTTGTTCCATTACCGCAAAACTTCGTTAATCTAATAACAAGCATGCCACAAAAAGTGAGTACTGCTCATTTGGCACAGTGACAGTTCCCTTGAAAATAGGGTCTAGTTCCTGGTTGTAAGAAATTATAAGCTCTTGACCATATCTGGCTATTCATCCCGCCAGGGAATGGATGAAACCCATTTTAAAAGTTCAGTATGTTGGAATTGATGGATCCACCTTCTTGGAATATGCATGAATTCCACCATGGATGTTATACAAGCGCCTAAAACCCTGCAAAAGTCCAACATGTCCAAACAAAAGATCCAGACCAAAGTAATTGAATATCCATAATTATACTTCACACTTCAGACTCGTTCAATATCGAAAGTGCAGAAAGAAAGTATTATGCTGATATAATACACCTTTCTCTTAAATGACTATAACCGCTCATGGATAATAACTCTGATGAATAAGGTAGTTGAACTTCAGGGACTTCAGATTCTTTAAAGTTCACATACTTCACTAAGTTCTTCTGTCAAGTAAAGGTTTTTATGGTAAAAATAACAGCTCTGTTTTACAACTCTAAACCATATTTCTGATCTGTTCCCTTTTTTCCTGTCAATAAAGATACTGACAGAACAATATCAAGTACACGCTTGATGTCCAATCAGAGACAAGAGAGGACACATGAAGCAGGGAGTTCTTTCGGATAACCATCAAAGGAGAAATCTGTTCAAGCACTACTAAAACAGAACGAGAGGACTAGAGAAAGCATACCTGTGTTTGAAGCCATTGTGCTGCCTGCATCGATCTCATCCCATGGTGACACTGAGAAGTTTTTTCATGTTAGACACACACACCCGATCTATGAGGAAAGATAAAGAAACAACCCGATCTTCTCTGTGACCACTAACCTAATATGCAACTTCATACCAGCTTTCCTTCACCACAAATCACTTCCCTCTCACTGGAACAACCTCGTCGTAAGAGCTAATGCAGTCCAAGATATTATTAAAGCTAGATGCTGAAACTTACCAAAACGTAAGTATCTTTTTCTGGATCCAAATCATCTGCGATGCTTGGAGCCCATTGACCGAATCTACTCAAAGGATAGGCCTCAAAGCCTTTAATGGAAGCAGTAGAGCTGTCCATATAAACATTTCAAAATAACTTAGTAGTCCAGCACAGTGCAAAAGCAGCTTTTGAGAAATCATCTCGTTTTTTGTCTACTCCAAGACCAAATCCATGGAAAAGCATTGCTCATCTGGTAAATGGATTCAAGTCAAGAATGATGAAACTTATGTATGAAATGTAGACTAGCATGGTATAGGCAGTTTGTACATTTCATCCGGTTCTCGAACATCAACAAGTTGAGCTTCCTCAAAAAACGAGGGGTCTTGCATTCGCTCATGAAACTCCTCAGCATCTATCTGCTCCAATTTCATCGCTGGCCTGTTGACCCAACAAGTGAGTACAAGCAAATTTAACTCAAGAATCCTAAGCAGTATCTTCGACGATTGTAAGCTAAACCTTCATCGCATCAGCATCTCTGGTGCATCTTCCAAAAAAATGGTTGTGGGCCCCGACCAAATTTTCAAAGTCGAATGAGGAAAGGACAACGAGCTACCTTTCGCTCAGCACTTGCAGCAAATGCCACCCATGTTTCGTTTTGACGCGGATCAACTTGTTCAACTGAGCTGTGAATATGGCCTCCTCAAACGCTGGATCCTGCAGACAGAATTTGATCACTCATCAATGTGTTCAAAAGCTGCAGTAATTCAACAACCTGAAAACTAAGGAAACTCTCCACAAATAGTTCTAAGCGCAGATTTCCAGAAAAGCCAAGAATCGATGTTCGACGTTCTGAAATATAATCCATTTTAGGATGAGTAACCTTACAGTTTGGCCTTCTGCTAGCCATCCTAGCATTCCTCCTTCGACACTTGATGGACAAATTGAGTGTTCTTCGGCTATGTCGCTCAAGTCCAAACCCTCTGCATTTGTATGAATCGATTTAATGATGCTATAAAATGTTGGAAAGTAGACATAACATGACATAACTATGTCCTCTATAACAACCGCTCTCGATTTCAGAGGAAAAGCTAGAGGCGCAAAGAATTTAGACGTCCAAAAATGAAATCATATATGAAGAGCTTGAAATTCGGTCTTCACTGTGATGATGATGATAGCAAATTTCTTGTAAGCCTAAGTGCATTAGCTGAGGTCAGCCTATTATCGGGGAAATGAGAACAGTCGTATCAGATACTTGAACACTAACTGATTTATAATTATCAATCAGCAGTGGTGAGTTAATTGAGTGCAAGGATTCAAACAATGAGAGCTACAGATCACTCTCATCACACTTATGAAGATGCCTTCGATTTGATAGATGCCTTCGATACAAAGTCTTCTCAAAGTACCTTGAGTTATTTTCCGCTGAAGCTCCAAGAGCAGTTGGAGCTGGTCTTCTTTCACCAGAAGATGCTGCACCAAAAGTTCTCGATCTTTAGCCTTTGATGGACTACCTCCAACTTCTACGCTTGATGATGCTTGGGCCACAACTGCATTCGACCACACTCAAGTTCAGCGTCTCGACAAATGCAATCAATGTAAATTTCTCACACATACAATTACAAACCCCACAATTTAGAGACGCATATAGATTCCAAGAGATCGTTTGCAGAAATGTACATGTTTATCCTGTTAAACTAAGAAAATCCCAAATTTCATACCAAAATCTTTAGTTTCACGTTTTCTTAGGCTATTAACCACGAATTAAGAATATAAGTCCATGACAGACAGACAACGACAGAAGATAGTACTTTGAATCATCACGAGAGCGCAATTTAAGAAAACGAAGTAAAAATTCCTTTCTGGACCGAGACGACGTCCAACCTTCCCAATATTGAAGTCACATTCTTTCGGAAATGACTCGATGGGTAGTAATCTACGACAACATTTGCTTTTTAGTGGCAACAACCTGTTGAGATGTGCTCTGTTTGCATTTTGAAACTTAAATTCGAAGCTGAAGCGCGCCAGCTTAAATTGCTGGAGTGGCCAGCGAACCCAGCAGCGCCGAGAGAACGGGTGAAAACTCGCTTCACAGACTCAGGAGATGAAGCACACCGAGGTGAATGTAAACTTGCGAGCCTCGAGGTAGTATTCCAACTACTACGTTTTGTCAGTGCTTTGCTTGCAAGTGGAATTGCCCATATGACGGGAGAACTGCCTTGCACCAAAATTCTAGCCATTGTATGTGTAGAGAACTCGGATGGTATAAGAAACTATCTGCAACCGATTCAAAATTGGCACTCAGATATGTCCATAACCTCGCTCGAGCAGCCAATTTTCCTTCGCAAGGAAAGATGGCAGTCTCGCCAGCGAACGCTAGACTGTCCCTCACTTATCTTCCTATAAAGGCTCTTCAGCTCATGGGTTCTCGCGTTCGTGAGTGGTTGTTGGATTCCGACAAGCCATGTTACAGCAGCTTTCAGCGGAGTTGGTTTGTATACGGCATACCACAACCGGATACGTCGTTCCCTCACAGGATTCTCGCCACTTGGTGTAGATGAGGTGGTCACTCTATGTCTTGTCCTCAAAACTGGACAAAACGCCCATGACACATGTTAACACTGCAAACAGGACGGTTGTTCGTTCACTGATGAGATTTTCCCGTTACTGGTGTTTACTCCTCGCCATTTCGGAGAACTTCTACTACTACAGTCATCCAGGCATTCCCGCCCGATGGCCTTTGGTGGAGAGAGTAAGCCTCCTCGTCTTTAGATTCGTATTTAGTTGAAGTGGCACTTCAATGCTTCCATCGTAATATAGAACTAACACTACTCTCAAATTGGGTGTACTTCATCTGTCCTTCGACACGATGTTAATCCCTTCTTCAGAAAAAAGGTACGGCCTTGAGATTTGCAAAACAATTTAAAAGAATAATGTCGTGCGATCATTGCTGTAAATGTTTAGTGCCCCCTCGAGCTTTTGACACCGCGTAGAGAAAAACCGTGGATACAAGTATCGGATGGCGCATGTAAACCCACGTTGTGCGGGTACTACTGTCGCTTGGGGATAGAACGTTTTCTATTCTCCTTATGCCTTAACATATTATTGGCCGTCACAGGCAATCACATAATGTAACTCATTCTTCATCAAGACTTTAAACACACAGAGAGCATCTTGGAGATCACCCATTCGAGAATATTTTTTAGTTACATGAAGGGGTCACTTGGTTTAATAAAATTGTGGGTCAGTATGTCAGAGATCTACAACGAGGCCTCACTCTTCCTGGGATGGCGCAACATTAGGGTATATTGATAATACCTCGAGCCATGCTAGATGACCCTCAGATATATCCCTCACCACTGATGCTATCAATTTCAAGGGTACACGTACTTGAGCCCTGGAATCTCTTTCACGCAGAGTAACATCATTTGTTACATCTGTCTCAAAGTCCACAGTGATGGCAAAAGGCACTCCTAACTCATCTGTTCGTGCGTATCTCTTGCCGATGGAGGTTCCCGTGATATCTATTTTGTTCGCCACTCCTGCTCTCGTCAGGGCAACAGAAAGATCCTTGGCCACCACATTGAGCTTCTCATTTTGTATCAACGGGAACACAGTGCATTTGATAGGTGCAACAATTGGAGGAAACTTGAACACGACCAGCTGTTCGTCACCTCCTTTGCTGGGCCGGGTGTAGAAGCAGTGCTCGTACATACAGTAGATGATTCGCCCGATGCCAAAAGAGGGTTCGATGACAGCAGGGGTGAACTTCCTGCCTGCTTCCGTGACAGTTTCTTTCGATATTGATACCTGCTCTTTCTTAATGGTAAAAGTTTTGCCCGTTGTGCACACTTCCAGTGGAGCCTGTCCATCTGCCTCGAGCTTCGCTTTCATGTCCAGCGCTTCTTCTTCAGACATAGCCTGTAACACAGGCAATACCCAAACATTATTTACTAGTCCTCTTGAAGTCCAGTTCTTGAAGTCAGACAAGTTGACGGACTAACACCAAACTAGACAGGATAAACACAATTGGTTAAAAATAGCCTCGAGGACCATAAGAAACCATGTCCGCAGAAACATGCAATAACTTACGAGCAAGGCCTTGCCGACAGTATCGCCATCTTTCTTGAATGCCGGTCCGAGCAGTTTTAGATGTGGTGTGATCTTCAGTCTCTGTAACCAAGTGAGCAAAGACGAAACTCTTCAATAAATACATCTGAGCCATAACAAAAAAATGGCGATTCTCTTTTCAAAGGTAAAATCAACAATCTCTGATTTCCGGTCAAAACCCCTTCGGATGAGTGGAAATCAAAATGTGCCTTACCTCGAAAACTTTGGATTCTGCATATTTCTCAAAAGCAGACAGGTCGTGATTGCTCTTATCCTGAGAAGGTTTGCATATAACGAATCAGTATCGAAAGAAGACAGCAGTGAGACGCTGAGCACGCAGAACAGATATCGTGATCCCAGGAGGAAAACCCTTCTGTACTGAGAGCATCACAGACTTACGAGTGTTTCATATGACTACCGCCAGTCTACTTGCACTTGACAGCCTTTCTTTGCCCTCGGATGCAAAGAACAGTTTGAAAAGAGCACTTTATACTTACGGAGTGAGCTTTCAAGTCGTAGGCAGACCGGTCAGCCAATCCTGTAACTTCTATCCACCCGTAAGAACATTCGATTTCCGCATCCCAACAATCGGCGGCATAATGGGCCATTTCGTTGGGCAAATGTTGACGGAAGCGTAACCTGTCCTTTTGAATACCAAGACTTGTGAGAAACAAGTACGTCCTCGCGATAAAGTAGCCCAACGTCTCGTTGTTGACTACGCCCTGTAATAAGCAGTGGCACGCAGTGTAATAAGACTTTTATTCTTACCAACATGAACGGTCATTTCCAATCAAACTTCACTTTTACAGGATTACTGTGAGAGATGGTCCATAACGTGCGTCATAATGAGTGAATGAAGTGAAGTGGAAAAGAACTCTGACAAGGGTGCCTAGACTCTCTCTAATCAAGGGAGAACCATCGATTGCGAATCTGAGTATCCATCACGATTGCAAGAACGCGTCAAATATGCATAGTGAGAACAGTTCATGCCAGATAAACCGCAACTGCTTACCTGGCTTACGGCGTCACCAATTCGTGTCTTCACGGGCTTCTCCATTGACAGTTGTTCTTTCCTTGGATACAACAAGAATTCGAGGTCTGCTACATCCTTGAACTTCGGATGGGATTTGTCTTCCGGGTCAACAAAGTGTTCAATTTCAGCCAGCGTGAACTCTCGAACCCTCAGTAAACCTTGTCGAGGGGCAATCTACACAAATCAGAGACAGAAAGTTGAATCAACAATTTTGCAACATAGATTGTCTACTTTCAGGAGACGTATTTCAGTGTAAAAACTAAAATAATAATGAAAAGCGTTACTCATTGCTCACGAAGAGTTTGAAGACTTTGTACCTCGTTCCTAAATGCCTGGCCAATCTGTGCCGCTGCAAAAGGTAGCTTGTTACCGTTGTAGTAGTACAGCTTGCTGAAGTTCACGAAAATTCCCTGAGCAGTTTCTGGACGCAAGAATCTTCGGAGATGCCAGATAATATTAGTAAACACACAGCAGCCAACTGGCACTTCTCTTGAAAAATGAAATTCGCAACAGCCCAATACCCGTAGCTACAAAACAGGACAGCTTAAATTCGCTCACCCTGGGGCATTTCCTGATGGACCGATCGATGTAGAAAACATTAGGTTGAACGGATAAGGATCAGACACAGGGTTCTTCGAGTCTGGAGCGGTAATCTTGTACTCCTTGATTTTCTCACCAAGCTGTGCAGCGTTGAGCTCGTCCAGAGTTGTCAGAACTTCCTTCAGTTCCTGCCTCTTTGCGGATGTCAACAGGGGGTCCTTCTCTAAAGCTTCCGTACAATAATCCTTAAGAAGATGATCTGCTCTATAACACATGCCAGTCTTCTCATCCTTCACCATGAAATCTGTAAATTTGTCCACGTGCCCGGAGGCCTTAAGCACAATCTCCGGAGTAACACAAGGGCAATCGATTTCTAACATGCTCTCTTCGAGCACATAATGCTGCAAAAAAACAAAAAACCGCATAAGACTCAATCCACCATCCAGCCAGCCCGTCCATCTGCGTGGCCCTCACAGATGGCTTGTGCAGATATGAACAAGATCATCCACGAACCCGACCCTTACATCGAACTGGGCTATCGATTTCAAGCACATGGATGAGAAATTTCGAACGAAGCGTTACAAGATAGACAAATGAGTCACTCAGCGTCGATCTTCGGGTCTAAATTCACCTGGCGCCACAATGCGAGTACATTGGCCTTGATAGCACAACCGGGAGGTCCATAGTCATAAAGGCCGGCGACACCACCGTAAATTTTGAAAGCCGGGATGAAAAACAACCTGCTGGTCAAAGTGTCATTCAATTGCTGTCTAAAGCTCTCCTTACTATTACCCTTGCCGTCCGATCCAGCGGCCTTGGACGTGATTTCCTTCTCTTTCGCCTGCACTTCCAATTTCAATTTCATCAACAGCTGCAGAGCCTCCTCGATTTCTTTCTTGTCCACTTTGTTGCCTTTCAGGGCTCTCACTACTTCGCCCTGCTTCTCCGTCTCCGTCTTTTTCTCCAGCAACTCTGTCCTCAACACTTCCAATTCCTCCTCCGTCGCCGCCATTTTGACAACTCACTTCTTCTAATCCAAACGACGAAGCAGTCAACACTTCGATCGACCGACGAGCGTCCTTCGGATTTTCCACGAAGCAAATCGATCGATGAAGTTGAATTTCGCTCTCTCTCTCTCTCTCGCTCTCACATTCCTCCCTTTGCTCAAAACCCCTTCCTCACTTCTCCTCCACGGACAAACGCCAAGCAATATTCCACAATATCTATATTCAGATAATTCACTAAATCCCGTGGTCGTCGTTCTATGCCGTCCGATCTAGGTTTATTGCGGCTCAGATATTTCGAACTATGATCCCCCTTATTATCAATTGCGGGTAAAGAGCTGCGATGTCTTCACCATTAGGGTTTTGCAAACCAAACCTTCGGGCCAGTTGCAATCGATTAGATAACCAATAACCAAATAATTTAGCAATAAGCATCGGATATAGCTCATGACGTCGGACTTTTTCAGAAAGAAATGGATATGATGGGGCAGCCACCAATAACATCACTGTGGCAAATATATACTATCTCTTAAGAAATCTCAACTATCCTCATACAGAAACATGAGAATATTGAATAAAATTCTCAACTATGATATTACTTTCTCACCGACTTAGTAGCAGGTGATTTTGGTAGAGAAATTTAACAATGTATACCTCAATTAATACAATATTGTCAAGAAAATTTTAATATGATATATTTTAGAACTGTATTCCAAAAAATTATGTATCATTCAACATTCATCCCTTTTTTTAATTCTTGATTTTTCTATAAATCTCTCACCGATAAATTTCAAACAGTTTTTATTGTTTTCATGTAATGATTAGAATCTTGAGACAATTTCAACATCTCAACATAGCTCAATGTTTGGATTGTTTCAACTTCATTTTTTTGCAATCTATGATTTTCTTAAATCATTCATTCAAAATTTAAATATATGCTTACCATATTTATTACGTAATTTAACTTTTTAGAACAAAATGCAAAACAACCAATTCAAAGTGACTGCAAAACATAAAAATGTTGACAAGATGGAAGTATTCAACATCTCATGAGCAGTCAGGGTACATTTTAACATACTTCAATAATTATATCATGCCACAAACATTCTACATTTATTCTTAATAAATAAGCAATACCATCAAAATCACTATCTGGTTTGAAATGTACTAAAACTCATATGAAGTTAGTTGATTGGTTTGAGTCAGACAGTTATTACAGGAGTTAAAACTCCAGCCCATGGAACCGATTTAGCAAAATATAAAAACGTTGTGAATGTCTCAATCTAACAAAATAAAATAACAATTTCCATAACATCAAGATTTAATGTATTTCTATATTTTCATGTATGATAAAATATTGCCTTAACAATAAATTAAGTTGGTTGAATGAATTTTGGTTTATTAGAAATTGAACCAACATTTTTTTTGATAATATATTTTACATATAAATATATCAAATCTACCTCAAAATATATCAAATCTTCAATCACAAAAAAAACAACACAACGGTTCAATTAGCTAAAAATGTCACAATCTTTATATATTTTATCAGTATCAAGCGTAATTTTTCATATGTTAGACATGTATTTTTTAACACATAATTGCAAGTTTAATAATCTCATTAGATCGTCTCAAATTTGTAATAATTATTATTAAAAATCAGTTTATATTTATTACTTAAAATAGATTTATGATTTTAAACTATTTATATGTAAATTTTAATTTATATAATATTTCACATTCTAAAATTTAATTCAATATGCTACTCTAAATCACATATGTTTAAGTTATACATATATTCAACACCATATTATGTTGTAAATTGCAATTAACTTCATCTGTCGGTAATGTATTGATTAAATATGTATAACACAATTATTCATGCTCATGACATGGATTATTACACTCTTCAAAAATTCAAGATATATTCAAATATTATTTTTTATTATATTTGCTAGTATTTAATATATAATCGAAATTTCAAGAAACATTTTATCTAGTTTATGTGTATAATTCTAACTACATATTCAATAAAACATAAACAATAAATAGTCATGGTATAGTAGGATAAGATATGAATAGTGATATTGAAGAAATTATTTTTGCTACAGTACAATAAATTAATGCAACTATTGAATATTGTTTCAATCACTGATAACATGAAGAAGTAAACAATATGAATTTAGAAAAACTATTCAATAGAATATAAGGAATTCTAATTTCTAACCATTCAAATAAAATCTGAGTTCAAACAAATTTTTCTTGATTACTTTGAGTTTAAATTACTTTAAACTTGTTACTATTACCAGTTGATGATAAATTAACAAAATTATTCGAAAAATAAAATTTTTTAAAATAGAATTCTTTTAAATTTACTTTAAAAGTGTAGAACAAATCATAAGAATCTTTATTTGCGTGATCAGTTGAGATTATTTTTAAAGAACCCAGTTAAATTTGGGATTTTATATATTAAATATGATGCATATACACATTAAAAATTTGATTTCAATTAAAATTTTATATATCAAAACTTTTAATACAAGAAAAATATAATATTCTAAAAATAGTTGATAAGTTTTGTAAGTCTTATTATAATAAATAAATATAACATATGGCCATTTTTTCCTGTAACTTTTTTTATAAATAAAAGTTCAATTTCATTTGAAAGTAGAAAAATATTACCAAACAAAACTTGTGGATACTTAAATCAAACACAAAATTTATTACAAAATCAAAAGATAGGTTAATTTCTTTTATCATGATTTTGATTTATGAAACACATCACATACTTATTAGTTGTATGAATGATTATTGTTAATCTAAGTAATAAAACTAGTGATGTATCACATTCACGAGTGAGTGATAGGTTGCAAGAATATTGATGAAGTTAGGTAGAAAATCATTGAAAAAATGATAGAAATTATATAACTTTTGTTTGAAACTCATATGCATAAAATATATTCTAGCTTTAAAAGAACTATATAAATGACATGAGATAAATGATATATCTATTTGAAAATAATAAACATGCTAAATTATAAATTCATTAACAAAAAATGTAAATTTATGATCAAGTTGATCTGGTTTAGAAATAATGAGTATATGTATACATGATTTTTTCTTTTCCATATAGCTTGTACAAACGTTCATTTGATGCATACCCAATGATGAAATCATTACAAATTACTTTCTACCATCTTCACATAAATAAGTGTGTGATGAATCTAAAGACATAAAAATTGAAAAGGAATAAAGCTCATAGTGCATAATTGTCAAAACACCATATTTACCAAAATTTACATAGTTTAACGAAATATAAAAATTCAAAAAAATTGAAACAAATTGTCAATTTTAAAAATTGAAACATGGTTTTTGATTTTAAAAAAAGATTTAAATCATAAAAAACTTCAAATCTTAAACTCTATTTAGCAAATTGAGTATATCGACGTGCATAGTTGAACATATTTTAATACATTTTTTACTAAGTCAGCAAAATTCACTAAATAGCATACATAAAAATACCCAAAAAATGCATACAATTTGTCAATTTTAGAAATGTAAACATGGTTTATGATTTTCTAAGAAGATTCAAATTATTTACAATTTTTATTTTTTAACTCTATCTAGCAAATTGAAGCTATTGTCGTGCATTAAAGCTCATTCAAATTGGATTTGCAAAATTATGAAAAATATAATGGAATATATTTGGAATATTTTAACATAAAAATACATATATCCTTTATCAACGATATGTTTCACATTTAAAAACTTGAGACGATAAATAATCATCACTTTATAATTTTTGATATAAAATGTATAAAAATGAAACTGATAAAAATAAATTGAAGTCAACTTTATTGCATTAAGTTTATATCATACAGCTTTACTTGATACACACTATAAACATAAAGGATTTAAATTAATCATATTGAGAAAATATTTCATATCCTGTGCATATTATGCACTAACATTATTACATATGATAAAATGATTAGTGGTAAAGTGGTTATGATTACTTGAATATACTTTACAATTTGATAATGTTACAACATTTTCACCATTTTTACTATGATAGTTGAATTGCATTACAATTTACAGTAAATTAAATGATAAATGGATGTATGAAGCATATCAATATCAAAATCACTTTACTAGATATGCATGTAAACATGAAAATTAAGCTTTTAAAATTTGATGGTGTATTCAATCAATATATGCATGATAGAATTATCTGCTTAAAAAACTTTTAGTATGTGTTAACTACTTTGTACCTATCTGAAAATGATGATATTGGTTTTAGATGTCACATAGTTTAAAACATTAATCAAATAATATATTGTTAGAAATTAAACTGAATCTTGATAAATTAGGTTAGTGTTATTATAATATAAGCTGATAAGTAGAAGTTAGTAATAATCTAATACCATATATAAAACTTCATTGAAATTATTAATGATTTGTCATAACGTATATGTATCTATGCAGATGCATCTTCAATGAAATCAACCATGTGATTTTTGTGATAGTGTGTATTTTGTGTAAGTTATATGTGATTGCTGTATGAATAAAGTATGAGAAATATACAAATATAAAAAAAGTATGAATAAACCTAAAATTGGATTTTTTTATTATCATAGATCAAAACATAATAAATTGATGAAAATTCCAATGAAATTTATGAGCATATAAATTAATAAAATAGAATTTATTTTTCAATAGAATTTATAATAATTAAAAGATGAAAGATTCATATGTAATGCTTTACACTGAAATTTCACATTGTAACATCAAATTTTACTTCATACTACTTATTTATTTTTCAAATATGTCTTTGATAAAATAATTAATATAAAATTTTTCCAAAAACCTTTTACATCTTAATGTGTAAAGCATGATTACCTTTATAAATAAATCATACGTGATGAATTTTTTTGCTCTTGTAATCTAAATATAATATGTTAACGTGCCAATGTTATAGATTTTCATATCCATGTTTACAAAACATGAACTTTGGACTTACTAAATGGAACTCTTTTCATTCCATAAATACAACATTATATATCATCAACACAAATTAATACTAAATCTTGTGATATATCTAGGGTCCGATACTTCCACCGTGCTCATTTGCTATTCCCACTTTCTAGGACATTGCTTGATGGTGACGTTGTAGAGATTAGCGGCAGCATGCTACATCTCATATGTAAGCACGCAGCCTTCAAAACTTCAACATCGATGTAAGTGGTCTAGTGAGGGGTGTTCATGGCAGCATGCTACATCTCATATGTACGCACGCAGCCTTCAAAACTTCAACATCGATGTAAGTGGTCTAGTGAGGGGTGTTCATGGCAGCATGCTACATCTCATATGTACGCACGCAGCCTTCAAAACTTCAACATAGTTGTAAGTGGTCTAGTGAAGGGTGTTCATGGCTTGGCGGTACAAGGAAAAGTGGAGTGTGAGAAATCAAATCAGCAGGGCTTAAATATCAGACGCTATATCTATTTATTCAAAATAACAAAAATTTCGAAGTGATCATAATTATGAAGTGAGCATGAACATGATCTAAGATATGTATATGCTTTGTGCATCTTTTCCACTTGGATTACATACTTTGTAAGATGAAAGTATGCTGATACAATTTTTTACATGATAGATGACACATTGCAAATGATAAAAGTTGAAGTTATATTTAGCAAAAAAAATATGATATATTCCACAAATTTTTTTTCTTTCACTTGCATGCTAACTATCAATCCCTAAAATCTAATGATATACATATCGATTGTCATAATTCCAACCATGTACTCAGTTGCAAGGCGCTAAAAGGAAGAAATCGGATAACTCAGTTTAGAATGGCCTCTTAACTTTTCAGGTTGAGCATAGTACAGCTCTAGAGTGAAAGACATAGATTTACCATAGAGTGAAAAACTGATTGCAGATTTCTGATACACTCTCCATTCTCTTCTTCACTCCCGTGAGACTTATTCCACTAATCCACTAGAAAGTTATACTCAATAGCTACAAGTTGCAGTGACCAATTCCATCAGTGTCAATCAGACGAAGACTAACGGGGACTGGTGGTTTAACCGTGCATGTGATTGCCGTGCAACGTAAGATTGTCGAGAACCGATGGCCGTCAATATCCAAAATAGGTTGATAGTATGAGGCGACTCCATGTTACAAACTGTGGTTCCAGTCTCCTAAGTGGGTGCTGCATCGGATTCCCATAAACGGGAGCTCACAGACAGTCGCATTATCGACGGCAGGGAACCCAACAAGAATTTTTGAGATGAACGGCCGTCGGAAACAAGGCCAAAAGGGTGTTGGACTTTTCTCGTGCGGAGCCGTAGACTGAGGTAGAGGATGAGCGCATCGCAGCCAGAGCCTTGAATGCGCTCGATCGGGTTCTTGAATTCGATCTGCCGAAGGTTTGAATCTTCTTTCTTCTTCGACACGCCTGGCGTCTTCTTGTTTTGGCGAGCTCGAGGCCCCAGGATGCCCGTGTGAGCATAATTGTGAGGAATTCTCGACCTTCAAAGGTCAAACGTCCTCATGCTGCATCCGGAGTTTTACTGCTCGAAAAATTATCGAAAGAAGGCGACCACACTGGTTTCCTTGTGAAATTGAGCAGATCTTGAAATGCTGTGCTTTTGCAAGTGCGCGGAACAAACGCGGCGGAGCTCACTGTATTATTGCCGGTGCTGCCACAGTACGTAGTTGCGTTCATTCCGAAGCTCGGCTAGCTAAAAAGGAGCGAGAGTTGGAGGGTGGGCTTTTGATATGCTGACCACGATGCAGGCGTGGTTCAAAGGAGGTCCGACTAGTGAAGCCGGCGGACAAGGCTCGTTGTTAGATGACTGGAATAGCTATGCCGGTGCTCAGCAGAGCACCGGTACTGGAATCGATCTGGAGTCTGCCGTTCCAGAGTCGTTCGCACCCTTGCTTAAAACTGCCAACGAAACGATGATGGGAGCTTTCAACTCGTAAGTCCCAACTTTTGTTCCTTCAAGGGCTTTGCGAAACTGTATCAAATCAGCAGAGAAGTCGTATTTCTAGCTTACCAGGGAAGATCTATCGATTAACAATATTATGTGCAATCTACCTTCAAACTTGCATTGGTATAATCGCAGTTGACGTTGGATGTTCGATTCTCTGAGAGGATTTTCTTACTAACTATAAGTTGGTTGGTTTTCTGTATTGAGGATTTTGAAAAGGAGAGTACTTTATGTGTTAATGAATACTTGAAATCAGTGACCTATGTGGTTAGATTTTCCTGCATAATCGAGAGCTGCATGAGTGAATAAATATCAATCAAATTGCTCGCAGTGTTGAAGGAATGAAGTAAACATGAAAGGCAGCTGTGCTGTATTGTTCCGAAGGCAGACATGATGCATGTAGTCAGGATTGCGGGCTACTTTATGGATCGGGGAGTTATTTTGTGGACGAACGAATGAAGGGGAGACTCTCCGAGCTTTTCAGTGATAGGTGACAGACAGCCTGTCATAGTAAATCGTCTTTGTAGCTAAAACATCCCTGCCATTTGATTTTTGACATTGATAAGTTCTTTCATCCAGTATGGACTATAATCGCTACTTAAGGCTTTGTGATTTTGTGAGTAAAGGTAGTTGTTGCCCTTTTACTGCTCCGATACGTCTCCACGTGCTCGATACTCCAGATTACTTTCAGTAAGACTAAAGCTGGAAAAACCTGCAGCACGGAATGAAAATCGAATGAAGAGTGAAAGCTGTCCTAAGTTTCTACCGTCAATCGTCCCCGTGGATCTTCACGCTAAAACGAAACAGCCAGGAAAAAGTATACTGCAGATTATTAACTGGTGGAAAAATTGTAATTCTATCCCATTTGTTGAATTCTCCTAGTGGGTTTTGAGGTCTAACTTCTACAATCCTGAGGGGTAGGAAGCAGCTAGGAGGTGCTATGCTGGATGGCGCCTCCAGATTTTTACGTAGGAACTTGGAAAGGTTTCAAGTCTTGTGTTTGGATGTACCAATGGGACTAGCAATCAGGGCTAAGTCCAAATTTCACCTCAAATGTGCACAACACTCAAGGTACATGTGGAAAGGTCTTGACAAGACGTTTTCAACACCATCAAGATTGAATAAAACGCCCTCAGGTCTAGAATTTATAATCACTTAACTGTTTGGAAACTATCCTGTCACAAACATGTTGGTTATAAATTTTTTAATACCAAAGAGGGAGGGTCAAGCGAACCCGAGAAGTATATAGTTGGGAGTGTGTCTATGAGTAAACTTATGTTAATGACTTAAGACCATAATACAAGTCTGCCCCAAACCACTAAGTGATTAGATCTTGGGAACAGCTCTTGGGCTTAGTTAACAGTCGAAGTCATATTAAGTCCCGTTGAATATTCTCGAACTCTCTGGGTAATAAGAAGTCGCTTCGAAGGAAAAGTCCCACGCCTCACGTTTGTACCTCCTTGCAGAATCGAAAACAGCAGATGCTAGTAGTGCCTATTTGAGCTCTAGGATCTGAATTACTCTGCTCCTCTTTCTTAATTCATCACCGTAATTTAAAGCCGATGCGATGCAGAACTTGAAGCGGATCTGTTCATGTTTATCGAGTATTGAAGGAGCCGCTGCGTTTTATTCTAAGTTTTGTTTCTATCTTACACTAGCTAGGTTGGATTCGTGCAGGGTAACAAGCCGAGTACGAGAGCTGCCGGGAAGTGTGTCGAGTGTGACCACAAACATGCCTTCCACTAAACAAATAATGTATTTTGGCCTTCTGCTGGCGGTGGGAGTGTTCTTCGTTTTCCTGGCCTTCGCGCTTTTCCTCCCTGTTATGGCTTTAATGCCGCAGAAGTTTGCCATCACATTCACTCTTGGCTGCCTCTTCATTATGGGTTCATTCTTCGCCCTGAAGGGCCCTAAAGCTCAGCTCTTTCACATGATTTCAAAAGAGGTATATCTCCATCACGTCTCTCGTTTTGAAGTTATCAGTTCGAGCAAACTTGGTTTTTGGATACACGAGTGAGGAGCCGTTATGTTGGTAACAGATCTTTTACGTGCTGGTTGGTCAAAACGACTGTTATCGGGTCGTTGTCAGCAGTCTGTGAGGTCAGTCCTTGTATGAAAGGACTGAGTGTCAGGCCTCCGATCGAGCGCTTGTTTGGTATAGAAGAATATCGCAGTGGAGTCGTTGTAGTGTCTTACGACGGTTCAGTAATGATCTTTGATGACATGAAGTTCTCCAGATAAGAGTTTGTGGGCTGAATGAAGTGTTTACGATGTCGCTAAATTGATAATTTTTTGTAATGACGCAGAGACTCCCATTCACTTGTGTTTTCTTGGCAAGCATGTGTGCAACAATTTTCGTCTCCATGTATCTTCACAGCTATCCATTATCTCTGCTTTTCTCGATCATCCAGGTACGTTTTAGTTTGTGAATGCAGTACCGTCCTTGAGTCAAGTTCACCTTTTAATGCTGCAGATCGTTCTGTAGCTCGAAGATCTGCAGGAAGGATGCTATTGAAACAATTACTCGGCAAAAACAAGATAAAGCAACTGGGTTTTACTCGCTTTGACAGAATACAACACTGTTCTTACAAAGAAGCTTGTGTTATAAGCTGTGGATGACTGGATGAGAGACGAGATTGTCGGAACACCGCACTTCTATCAGTAGTCTAACGGCGTTGTTTCTTTTTCAGGTATTGGCTATGTTGTATTATGTCTTATCATACTTTCCAGGAGGTACAACTGGGCTGAAATTTATAGGCACCTTCCTTACCGGATCAGTTACCAAGCTTTTTGGACAGTAAGGTGGAGTTGGGTTGTTAAACAAAGGTAGAGCTTCCTCTTTGCAAGAAAGAGCCTCAAAAGGTTTGTGTGATATTTTCTCTTCATAACGATGATTGGCACATGAACATTGGGTCTACTTGGTAATGTGAACTTTTCTTCAGATGTTTGTGCAAGCAGTCTTTATTCTTGGAGTTATACCCCGTCTTCGCAACTACTATCACCGATGATTTGTCTATGGATATGACAATTTCAAGGCGCTATGAATGTTCGGAGCTTGACTTGGACCACCTGCAGCTTGAGTAAATACAACATACAGCATTAAGAGAAAATATCCCACATCACATGAAGATGAAAACATGATGTATACAAATTTTTCTATTCATCTCCTATACGTTGCAGGACAGTTGAAGAACGTTGGCGACTCTGGTCAGTCTGTTGAATTGCAGTAAAATCCATCCAAACTAGCTTACAGTTTTCGGAAGTTACGGAAGGACGTCTGTTATTGGGTGAGTCAGCTCCGTGGAGAACGTAATATGCCCCATCTGACAGAACATAAGAAGCATGAACCCGATCTACTCAGCGTGCTCCACTTCGCATTGTGGTATGTTGTAGCACGAAGGAGGCTCTTTGGTCAAATCACTGGAAAGGCGGAAATACTCTGCAATTTGCAGTGACATTGTGCGCAGTTTCGCACTACTTGTCCATCCTAGACACGCGGAAACTGGTAACTGACATTGATAAAGCCAATTTAGAGTTTTGCAAATATTATGTCATGGGCAATGATCATAGATTAGCTTTTGGTGTTAATATGTCGGACTCTATACAAATATGGACTTCAATGTGGAACCGATGCCATTGAAGAAGGAAACAAGTCATGTGTTGCAAGGTTTGAGCAGCGAATGAGCAACTTTATATAATTCATGATGTGCAGAAGATCTGAAACTGACCTAGTGATGGGTAAATGAGCTTGTACAAGTAATGAAATATTATATTCTAAATGATTTGAAAATAAAACTGAAAATAAAAAAATGTTCAAATATATATATATATATATTAAAAAAACTGGTATAATGAATATTTAAGTAATTCTTAGTGATCAATGATAATGTTATCAAGTATCATTGTTGTTCGTTCATCTAATTGGACATACTATAAAGTTTTATGTGGGGATAGGACGATGTTGTTGTGCTGCAAAAGATTACGCGGCTCACACACAACATTACACAAATCGGAGATGAACAACGAAACTATTTCTTGACGTTGCAACTTCGCCTTGAGTTCACTTATAAAGTCGGAAACCTTCTTGCACAACTAGACTTCTTGAAATCCGCCATTAAATAGCCAAGGTACCATGGCAGTGGATGTCGGACAATCAATTTAGACTTGCTTTTGCTCAAGACGTTGGTTTCACAGTCCAACTCTAAAACAATCGCCACTGCATTGGCCAATGATTTACACACGATGGCCTGCTGGATGTCATGTATACTGCGTAGCAAGGTGGTGCCGATTGCTGTCGGATTTGGCGGCTTTCAAAATGGCATGGTCATCTATAAGATCGTCGGCCATGTTAGATGGTCGAAGTATTTGAAGTAAGACGTGGTTTCATGCAAGGCCTTAGCCATCAACTAGTTCAGCATTTCCTTCTCAGTTGATGTTAGCAATGGATACACTTTGGTATCCAACAGTTCCGCTACAGAAAGTTTCATGAATACTATCTTGGAGAATATCGTGATTGTTGATGTCATGGCCAACTACAGCTCCAACACGTTAGTCTTGATCTGTTTTGAAAACTCACAGTATACTCGCTAGATGTATATTCCAGTTTGTCACGGATTTCTTGGAGTGAATGCATGTCATTCGTAGCGTCTTCAACCTATCCATGGCATATGTATCAGAGAAATTTTCCATGTTAGAATCTTAATAACGACCACACGCACTCATGATTCAGCAAGAAGCAAATGTTCTCAAGATTCAAGATTTTCCCCCATTTTCTACTAAGACTACAAGCCAATCATTTAAAAGTAACTTTTTAAACATTTTAAAATGAATAAAAAAACATTTTAAAACTTCATTTTCTCCAGATACATTAAAAATGTTTTCTTCTCAAATCTTTACATGTCAAATCCAAGAAAGATGCATTGAAAGGAAATGAAGTAAATTTTTAAATTTTTCAATAATTTTTATGGTTTTCTGATTGATAATTTATTAGACAATGACAAATTTTTGTTAGACTATGTTATTGCTAATTTTGAACAAAATCTAGATCAGATAAAATCTACAACTTATCATGTGTTTACATTTAATGGTATATGCATTAATTGAAGATCTATCTTTTAGAAGTGTGTAACTTTAACCATCTTTAGTTAGTTAGAACTAAAATAGAGATTATTGAAGATGAATTCATAATTACTTTAAAATGCACTAGTCATAATTGCAACTTCAGCGATCTGCATGCTTGGTAAGTAAAAAAATTAGTGTGTTAGTTCACAACATCACGTTAGTGATTCATGTGCTTGTTAGGTAACAATTGAATATGTTAGTTCAAAACGTTTAACCAATCGAAATGAAATAATTGCTTACATTCTCGGCAAAGGTCATAATTTGCAAGAGCATTCTGTGATTATGAAATGTGTTAATTGAGAACGTCACGTCAACAATCCGAGTGCTTGTTAGTATTATCCGCCATGTTATCCATCCATTAGGTATGAAACTGTCGATGTGGATGAGATCTTATCTTCTCGCGCTTGTTGGTAAGAGCTATATAAAGAAAATGAGAATCATTATTGATATCTCTCATTTTTGAGTGAGTTTTTTTCTAAACCCTAGTGTTACAGTAGTGCATTATACAACAAATGCTGACTATGTAACAACAAAAGAAACAACAAAGTAGACTATTCGGTTGGATAAATTTATCATTGAGATAAGATTAAACCAGTAGGTTGTTAATTTTCACTGTGATAACTAGAATGCATAACATCTTGCTGTAAATCAAATGATGAAAAACATATGAACATCAAGTATCACTTTCTCAGATATGTAATTTTTGATAAAAATATTGAACTAGCCAAGATGATGTAATTGATATGTTGATCAAAGTTATTTTTCTAAGAGCTTTATAAGAAATTGTGTTACTTTTTTTGACATGTAGTTTTTGATAAAAGTATCGAACTAGCGAAGATTGATAGTAAATTTGATCTAGCTAATGCATTGACCAAAATTATTTCTTTGAAGAACTTTAGAAGACATTGTGTTACTAGATGGATTTTGCATGAGGAGCACAAGTAAATTTTAATAGAAATTTATTAATTAACTCTTTATATTTGTTACTTAATCATGTCTTGAGTAAGGCCTAGTTTTAGTTAGTTCTTGTCTAAAGACCAACGTTTTGATTAGATTTACTTCTAGTTATTTTTGCACAGTAATTATATACACTAAAGATATTATTGTTAACTTGACATGTGTTAATGAGTAGGTTGTTAGCAATAATCAAAGTCGTTATCCTAATACCTAAACCGTTGATGAGAGTGATGTCATGCACATAGACAATAAGTTTAGGGTTTCAGCTTTCCTAGTAACTACTTAGCATGACAAGTCTACCTGTTGCACTGAACATATTATATGTGTTTTGATGAATTTAATCAAAAAGTATGAATCACATTACCTTTGTGTCTAAGTCTATGCCGTTGATTCTCTCACTTGTATTTTCTGTCAGTTTTACTCATTAATAATTGATATTTGTAAACTATTTATTCATCTTAGTCTAACATGTCTCAACTCTGGAATTTTGAAGCTTTTATGAACCTTGTTGCATTCCAAAGCTTTTTGTAACTATAGAAATACATTTATAATTTTTCTTTCTACCTAAATCCGTTCATGATTTGAATAAATCAATATTGGAAATAGCGTATATATAAGCTTGTTATAATCCAAAGTTTTTTTATAACGTTGGAAATACATTTATAAATTTTCTTTCTACCTAAATCTAAATCTGTTCAAGATTTGAATAAATCAATATTGGAAGTAGCATATATATATTGAAATGACTGAATAGACCTGAAGAAGCCAAGAAATAAGAGATGAATGTTCATAGTGTTGAACCAATTACTAAATTTGCAACCCCAAGCTCAACCAAATTGTAGACTTTCACCATGTACTCATATCAATTGAAATCTTTAAAACTCATGCTCTATTTTCAAAATGTTGAGTTTAGCCAATATAAAATCCTTAAATAGGACAATTATTAAAAATCGGAAGTAATACTGATTTTGAGAAATCTGAAAGATGAAAAGTTTCTATGAAGCAACGGATTTTTTTTTATTTTTCACTATGAATATGTATTTTATTCCAATATTAACCAAATAGTGAAACAAATGAAATTCCTAATACTAAGATAACAAGGGTAAATAATTTTAACATTTTCCAATAATAAAATGAATATCATGCCTATATTAGGCATATAGTGATAAAGATGAATTTCTTAAATTATCCTCCCACTTTAGGTTCATAACTTGGAACGAAGATTAAGAGTTATGAAACTCATCCATAAGCCATAACCACGGTAGGTAAAACTCAGCCTCCCCCAACAGTGAACAACGAGGGGAGGGGCGGGAGCAGGGTTCTCCCAAAAACTCATACTTCGCACCGCCACCTTAGGAGGAACGGTTCTTATCACAATAAGAATAAGAACTCACTGCACAAGAACCTGATATAGCATTAGTCATCTCTCATGATCTCCATCCTCGGACAAGGCAGAGTTCGCTTTACTGTGAGAACGCTGCCCGCTACAAGGGCTTGTGGTCTCATCTCCGGGAGCAAGAGAGCACAAACGGATGAGAGACGACGACGCGATGGAGCTCACGACGGGAGCTCGCGCTGCGCTCCCCCACCGTCGACGGGCGGACGCTCAGTCATCGAGGGAGATGCAGTGGTGATGGTAGTGGGAGAGCAGGGGAGGGGCAGGAGCTTGGCGGATCCATTGGTGTCAGCATCGATCGATCGATGGATTGAATGAGCAGCCGGAAAGTGCTCGAGCTTATATACTTGACGACGACGAGGCGCAGGAGACGGAAGACGCGAGCCGGTTGTGGAGTCAAGGGGAGCCGGGAAAGAGATGTAATGACCAGTGGATTGCAGTGGCAGCGGGGATCGATTCTTGGCGATCGGATTGAATTGGAGAGGGCTGAGTGGTTGGATCGTATGCTGGAAGTGGTGGGCGAAGAGGCCTGAAGAGCGCTTCTCGGACCGGCCTTCCTTGTTGGAAGGGAGAGGGAGATTATGTGGAGAGGATTTCCGTTGTAGATCGGTGGAAATCAGGGGACGACAATTTGGGAATGAGGATTGGAGCAGAGCTTATTTCGTAGAAGGGGAAGGATCGAGTTTTCAATCACAGGAGGAAGATGGAGCTCAGCAGATCTGTTGTTAGGAACTGGACGGAAAGTGCATTGTTGCTGGTTCGCTGTTGATTCTGATAGCGGAGAATGAGTGAGAATTTGTAGTTTTGACGTGACTATTCACGCCTATGTAAGACATTGGCATTTCATCGCGTCATCAGGCGTTTTTTGTTGTCTCGTTCATAATGGCTCCTACAGAAATACAGACTGCCTATTCTGGTCCTCATCACAAGTCTGTTGCAGCATTGTTCGGCGATGACTCGGACTCTCAGCCGTTGTGGTTCAAGAAAGATGCTTTTGGAGAGCCAAATTTTGACACAGAAGCATACATTTCAGATCTTCGAAGGTTTGTCCCATTTGATACCTTGAGGGCGGAGCTTCGGAGCCATCAAGCAGTCTTGAAGCACGAGCTTGTTGAACTTATCAACAGGGACTACACTGATTTCGTCAATTTGAGTACTAAACTTGTCGACGTTGATGGAGCTGTGCTGCGCATGCGGATGCCTTTGAATGAGCTCAGAGGAAAGCTGCTGACTGTTAGAGAAAGTGTCAGTGGATCTCTTGCATCACTTCAAGACGGACTGAAGCGTAGGGCTGAAGCTTCAGCATCACGAGAAATTTTGGAGCTCCTTCTTGACACCTCACATGTCGTTTCCAAGGTTCTCCTCTTCCCATCCTTATGCACAAGACTGATGTACATTGACAGTGCTCTATAATCAGTGGCTTCATTTGATCTGGTTGTGAATCCTAGCGGTTGAGAATGGAACTTCAATTTAGGGCCGGTGGCTCTAAAGGCGGTGGCACTAAAGCAAAAGGAAAGACAAAAGTCAAACTGCTAGACCCGTCGTTCTTTGCTACCCAGTGCAGGGAAGAGCTAGGACAATCTTCGTTTAAGATAGTGTCTGGTGGGCAGCTACAACGAATAAAAGGGGCAATTAAGTCACAAAAAACTGTAATTAGTTGCTGAAATCATATATAAGATACAATTTCAGAACCCACATGTCCAAATTCTAGAGGATGAAACTGTTTTTCATATTTGTGTGTCGTTCTTTGCTACCCATTGCAAGGAAGAGCTAGATCAGTCTTCGATTAAGATAGTGTCTGGTGGGCAGCTACAACGAATAAGAGGGGGCAACTAAGTAACAAAAAAGTCATATAAATATACAATTTTAGAACCCACATGCCCAAATTCTAAAGGATGAAACTGTTTTCCATGTTTGTTTCAAAGATGAGTGCATGAATGTACTGGCCTACTTCGAAATGATTCTGTGCCTAAAATGAGGTCCTCACTGAAGTGGAATTTGGTCGAATCAGCGCACAGGAATAGAGTGAGTGTTCAATGTCTTGCAGGTTTTCCTTCTACAGGATGATGCAATATCTCATAGTTGAAGACTTCTCCTATAGAATACGCAGACTCTCACATCTTTCTAGCATGCTTGGAAGAAGAACTGCCAATGGACATTCATTAGTGATTCAAAGGATTAAGCTGAACTCGAGTGCACGGTTTAGCCGATAAAATGTTAATAATAGCACGGAATTTTGTGAGCTCTTTTTCTACCGTTTTTTCTAGATGTCGCATACATCTAATGAGTCTTGTGAGCAGGAATTACTTTGGGATTTGTTTCAAATTAGAAACTATCGTGCCATATGGAACCTGCGCAGAAGTTCTGCGGACTGGTTATAATACTTGGTTAGGTCAGTTGCGCTGCTGCTCATGCTTGGTATTAGCTGATACGTAATTTTGAAGCTGGTCCATAGTCTGCCTATGTACTTCTCCCCTTGATTGATTAGGATAATACAAGTAGATATTATTTTCCTGTATTTTTTAGTTCACATCGGCAATCGTCTCAAGAGTTCTAACGTGGATTGAAAATAGGAAGTTAGCGCTTTTTATGAAATGTATTCTCTCACCTGAGTTTGGAAGAAAGTTGTGGTGTCTCGACATAATGAGACGACAATGATGGTTAATTTTACCGGGTTGTCTTCTTATGCTGTTATTATCGGTGTAGTCGTTGGACTCATAGTGTAGGCATCTTGAAACGATCTACATTTCCGGTTGCAAATAAATATTAGTGTATTGAAACCAACGAGTCAGATAACATGAAGCGTTTTTGCCTCACCAAGGGAGATGCCAATTGCTAAATTCAGTAGGTGATAATGTACCAATTCGCTTCGTAAGTGATGGAGCCGTGGTTAGTCTCTCTCGTTTTCCTTGCCTTGTCCAAAGTTTAGACTCATCTCCAGGAAAAAGACGTTATTCAAGTCCTGCCTGTAGCGTTCTTTTCTTAACATCTTCAAGCGTTGTTTATTAATGTTTAAGCAGAAGATAGCTGCACCTCATATCCCTGCAGGTAAGAAAGGGTTTTTTCTTCCTAGTATTCATGTTGTTTACAACAACATTTGGAGCAGTTTTTCGATATTAAGAAGCTTAACCACACTACAATACTTCGGTATCTTGTTGAGGTTGTGGAGGTTCGAGTATGTAGGGTCGTGGAAAGAGTTCAAAGACATATGATTGTAGAGGTCGTCTGACAGTCGGGTATATCACTCGGAAAGCAGTTGATTCGAGGAAGAGGACTTTTGACAGCGAGGATTTCTAGCTTTGAAGAAGCACAGTTTGAATGTGTTCTGTACATTTTTTTATTATAGACTTTGTCTGACAGTCAATTATATCACTTAGAGAACACGAGGAAGAGGAGTTTTAAGGAGAAGATGGAGCTCAAGAATCAGAGCTGGCTTAAGTTTATGTGTTATTTGATTAAATTTTCTGAGAAAATGATAGAAACATTCCACAATACTCAAGGGGTGGCACTGGATTTGGGGTATTTATATGGATACATACTCCAAATCCATAAGCCTGGATTGAGATTCTAATTCTTAAGCATGCTCTTTTGAGCCTGTCCCTATGGAGCCAACAAACTCTAGAAGAGGATGAGGTAGTGAACGGTCTATTGAATCACGCTTTGAATTTCTAAATGAGACCTGTTGGTTGGGGAGAAATAGAACGAAAAGAGAGACCTCTCCATTCCGATTTACTTTTCCCTCTTTTGCCTCACACTTCATTTCATATTAACGATATGTAAATAATAGTACGGTTCAGCTCGGTGTCTATGATTTTCTAGCTACTACTGAATAATTCAAAGGAAGAGCTCTACTGCTACAAATGTTCGACATACGTTTGCGTTACTGATCGACTACAACGTTGCAATGTACATAGGTTGAGAAACTACTCGTTGAGTTACAAAGTATGCCAGAAGACGATACACATATTTCAGATGAGCCAGGAAAGAGTGATTTCCAGAGGGATGCTAAACTTGGAGATGAACACGTGGAGCATGGTGCAAATCTTGAAGAGTCTCGAAGTCGACTTCTGGAGAGAATCGCTAGTGAAATGAATCGACTTAAATTTTACGTAGCTCGTGCCCAGGTTTGTCTTTGCTCCGTCCACGTCTTCCCATGTTGTTACGATGCTCGAGTCATTCATGGGAGGTTGAGCCATTCAGTCCAATTTGTTACATCTCTCTTTTTGGCAGTTTATAATCAGTTGCAACTATTTCTGAGTTATAACTGTTATATGTTTTAGACAGCACATTAGCTTATAAGAAGATTGAAAGGACGGTTCGCATGGATATAATTGTTTGTTTTCAGTTAGAAAGTTGTGTCGGGGAGTCGCGCTTACTATTTGCTCGCTGTGATGCTTACATGATATGGTTCTCTCTTCGAAGTGTGCATTTAAACTTTACTGGTCTGAGTGGCAAACTGTGTTCTCTTCAATCACTCGTTGCCGTTCATTCATCTGGCATCTCTTAACTTTTCAGGATCTACCGTTCATTCAAAACATGGAAAGAAGAATCCAAAATGCAGATTTCTCCCTGAATGCAAGCCTACGCCGATCTTTTGAAGGTGGCTTAGAGCGTCGTGATGGGTCCGTAATAGATCACTGCCTTAGAGCCTATGCTGCGATTGACAATATATCTGGTGCGGAGGAGGCTTTTCGCTCTGCTGTGGTTGCCCCATTTGTGCAACAAATTATACCCACAAGTCCGGAAAAAAGGGTCGTCGGCGGTAACAGTGATCAGCTATCTGAGGTTCTGAAAGAAATAGAGACTCGTATACAGACCGACTGCAAGTTTTTGCTTGATATATCAGCAGCAGGTACTTACTAGTCTTAAATCTCAATTTGATAGTATCTGTTCCCGTCCATTAATTCATTTCAACTCGATAGTCTTTCAATTACGTAACCAGTAGCAACAATTGTGTAAGAAGCTAACTGCAAGTTTACTGGTTATCTTCAGCAAACTCCGGCCTCCACGTCTTTGATTTTTTGAGCAACTCCATACTTAAGGAAGTGCACTCAGCAATACAGAAGGGAAAGCCTGGGGCCTTCTCACCCGGCAAGCCAGCTGAGTTTCTGGCCAACTACAAGGCCAGCTTGAAGTTTCTGAATTTCTTGGAAGGTACTATAAATGACTTTTCATGATTACCTTTCATGATTTGGTCAAAAATTATATCTTCAACTTTTCAAGTCTCGTTGAAAGGAAATATATTCTATCCGTGAGTTTCGGACCCGTTAATTTGCTTTGGGAGTTATTTCTTTGAACTAGAGCCTCTTGACTTTTGAAGCTTTTACTTCAAGCAGGACATTTGGCCCGACATCTTTACTCACATTTATCACTACACTAATCTGTTCGGAAAGGTGTAGTGTTATGAGTCCTATCTACAATGTGATTTAGTAAATTTGTGACGGCAAGCTGGTCTGAAGGTTTCCTCGGGTCGATTCAGAAACATGAAGTTGTGTTTCATATGCCAGGTTGCAGTTGTTTCTACCAGCCATAGTCAGGACATGACATACATTTCGTTTAAGTGCCACGCTTCTCTTGTATGTTCAGTATTAAAGTAACTCATTGTTGTAGTTTTTTGTTCTGATAGTAGAAGTGTTTAGACTTAAATGTGTGCATTGTTGATGGGGATGCAGGTTATTGTCAATCGCAGGCAGCTGTCGAGAAGTTTCGATCTCAGAGTGCGTATTTCGAGTTTATGAAGCAGTGGAATCTCGGTGTCTATTATACACTTCGGTAATCCGGGCCATTTTCGAGTAAATTACCTGTGTTTAGCATAGTCTTATGGTTTCTGATTGTATACGAGACTCTCGTCTCTTTGATCGAGATACTTTTTTTTGCATGAAACCCTTCTTTGTAAGGGAGACCTTCATACAACAAGCTCTGCTCACGATTAGAGTTCCCTGTGTAGCCTTCAGGAAATAGCGGGAGCGCTAGATATTGCAGTCACCACCACCGTCACAACACCAGCACAAGGTGTCGTTAATTATGATGAAGATGGCTCGTTAGGATTGGCATTACATCCCAGTTCCGTTCTCTGGGATTGTCTTCAACGCTGCTGGCAAGAAGATGTTTTCATTAAAGCGGTGTCCGATAAGTTCCTGAAGCTGACGTTACAACTTCTTTCAAGGTATGTGGGACCCCCATCTTATCTTTGCGGAATGTCATCAATCTACCGAATCCTCCGTCCTCTGGTTCCTGATATGAAGCTTTTAGGTACACATACTGTCCAAGTCATTGGGGCAAGTCGGCTTTTTCTAGATCATTTGGCAACATTGTCTGGTCACAAATACGGTAGTCAGAATGGTGTGGTGTCAACGATGAAAACTCAATGCGGGATCCAAAAGTTAGTCAGAATTAAGCACAAAACTAGCTAATCGGAAGTTCCATGTCTTTTGGCTTCCTGTGAACAGTGTGAATACCTGTAGACCAAACCTTTAGCAATTGATGCTTCAACTGTAGAAAGCAAGTTAGTCGCATTGTCGTTCAGAGGCAATTTTTCTCTCTGAACGCTTGCTTGATTGTTGCTTGGACTACATGTCATTTCTGTCCTGCTCTTAAGCAGGTATTCAACATGGCTATCGGCAGGTCTTGTAGCACGCAGAGCTGGAAATACAGAGAAACCAGCAGGAGGGAACTTCGCCTTGGTAGCTACTCCGGAAGATTTTATTCTTGTACGTCATGTCTCATACAAGTGAAAAGAGAGCAGCTGAAGAATTGTGCTTACACAAAACCATGAGACGAGACAATTCATACCAGACGCTAATTAGTCTAAGAGAATCTTGGTTTCCGCTCTTGTTTTGTTCCTCTTTGAAATTGATGGATGTTTCGCGATTTGCTACCTTAGACTCGTTCTCGATCGACGGTCTGGTAAGGTTCTTGCAGCTGTTGTCTTTCCATTTCGAAAAGAGTACGCTGGATGTGTTAGTTAATTTCTTTCTCACTTAAGGATTTAAAGTCTTTCGCTCCGGTGTTTCAGGTGGGCCATGATGTAAAACTATTAGCTCAGAAGATAAAAGGTCCACATCTGCAGCACGTAGAAGCTGCTCTGACTCCAAGCGCCCCTGAAGTATTCGCATTAGTAAAGCAGAGTATATTCCAGGCAGCTGATCTATTACTTGAGCTTGTTCCAGCTCTAACTGATGTTTTGACGGAGGCCTTGGCTGACAAGTGTGCGGAGGTCAGTTATCCACTCAGGTCATCTGTTCTTAAAACTTTCATGCAGTTGAGCTGGGTTGATGAATGCAAGCTGAAGCAACAATTTGGTTCTTGGGACTTGGGACAAGTACTGCATGTATTCCTAGAGGCTTCAATCTCATGATATGTAATGGCCTATCGAGTACTTTTGCTAGTCATTTCCAAATGCGGTTGCTCGGGGCTTTTTGTACATTGAACAGTTCAAAGCTAGTTCCTCGAATCATGTCTCACACCTCTTTTCATTTGCTTATGGAATAACTGGGAGCATTGTAGTCCTCTACTAATTATTTGAAGTGAACATTCTCAGCGCGACATCTTCTTATAGTAAGAATAAACTGACCTGGCGCTTTCTATTGACTTCTGGACAGGCATTGAAACAAGCGAAGGGTATAACGGCCACGTTTCGGATGACAAACAAGCCACTCCCCACGAGGCATTCGCCCTATGTTTCCAGTATACTACAGCCTCTGAAGGTTCTTTTCGAATGATGGATACTCTGCTAGTCGTCTAAATCTGCTGGCCTTGTTGGTCTAATCTTTCTGTAATGCTTTGCCATGCGATGGCTGTTTCGTCATAGGTCCGAAGTTTTTTTTCAATTTTCTTTCCTTAAGGATCTTAGGTTGTCAGTTTAATCAACGAAGTTCTCCTTCCTACAGTTTGTGCATTCTAGTATGTGACGGGAGACAAACAATGGAGATTGAACAGAAATCAGTAGCTAGAATATGTAATCTACATGGTAGAAGGCCTTATGCATCGTATTAAGTACTCGTCTGGCGTCATAGCTACGCAGTATTTGAACTGTTATTCTATGTCACGTGTAGGCCTTTCTCGAAGGAGAACGTATCATTTATCTTGCGCAAGATGCCCAGGAGGAGCTACTTGGAACTGTTGTCGAGAAGATCACCACTCGATACAACGACCAAGCTCGTGACATTATCAACACCGTAATACTTGAAATTCGAATCTTGTGAAGATTTCAAAACTTGAAAAGGAACAATGCCTGTTAAGGAGAAGTAAAGATGTACGTATGGACGTTCTACATTTTGTATTTTGCACGAAGGAAAAACTGAAATACCTTCCCATTGATATGTTCTGCAGGCCCGGAAAACCGAATCAACGTTACAAAGGTTTAGGCAGGGAGCGGCACGACAAAGAGGAGGAGGAGCAGATACAAGTGAAAACAGTATATCGGATACTGACAAAATTTGTGCCCAACTCTTCCTTGATGTCCAGGTATGGAAAGTCTTACTTTTTGGTATACTTGTCTTTTTCTAAGCAATGTATATTTCAGAACTCTGTCGATATGCGGCAGAATTTTGGCATCCTGGAGCGTAAAACTTTGATACATGGTGTTATGCAAATTGGGTTGGGCAGTCCAGCATCCATGTCTTGGAGGTTCGATAAGGTTTCTGCTTGTATGTTGCTTTTTGCTCACTCATTATTGCTTTCTTAACTTTCACAATATCTTCGTTTTTAACTCAGGAATATGGGAGAAGGCTTTCTGCTCTTGGAATCTCTGCAGCAGATTTGCCCGTTTACGTATCGTTGTGGCAGTGTGTTGCCACCGTCGATAGGCAAAATGATATTAGATTCTAAGCGCAACCAATTTATTTTCGAATAGATAGAACAGGCCCCCATCCAGACCCGGAAGGAGCTCGGGTCAGATGGATATTTTTAGACAGTTCAGGCTATGAGATGGTACAAAGAAGTATTTTCCCGGCTGCTCTTACCAAATTGACTGGATCCTCTCGGACAGAATGTGCCTCACCTGCTCTCTTACCAGATTGACTAGATCCTCAGGAACTCAGATCTATCAAGTTACAGTATCGAAGTCTGTTCTGGTACCATTGCTGCCTCGGCTTTGTCGTGGATTACGAAACGCAGTTTTGATTGCTTCATGAGTAGTTTGATCCATGGGCAGTGAGGTGTTGACCGGATATTGGGTCAGCGCACAAAAGTGTGGATGTAGCACAAATACTCAAATAAATTATGATAAGTACATCTCATCAATTTCATGTATGTATTGTATACATCGAGAGCCCAATACGACTCATCAACACTTATCTGATGTGTGAATGTTTCGTGTGCACCATCATTACCCTATGACCATGTTGGAATTGGAGACACCGGTAAGAACCGATGGCATGTGACCTATGAATTCGACATGTCGTTTTTTCAACATCATGCGTATAAATGATTGACCTGAAGAAATATAAATGAAGAAAAAGAATATAGAGAGAGAAGGAGAGTCAGTCTCCACCCAATAAGAAAACTCTGAAAATCTTTGAGGACCACTGAGTTTGATATCTCGCCTTGTCAGCAGCTTGAGGCAGAGGGCTCTCCCAAATGCTCCCATTACCTTAGTGTTAGTGTCCTTCTCAGTACAACTTAAATTCAACTCCTTTTCGAGCTTACTGTACCTTCTTCTGCGGGTGCTGCATTGCACATGAACCTGGGTTGATGACTGTGAGAGGCAGTAAGTTCTTTCCTGTCTTCTGATCCTGGGAATTGTGCCCATCATCTGTACGCGTGAAGGATGAAAGACGATGAAGGAAGTTCAAACTTCTGGCATTCTCGATTTCGTTCCTTCTGTATCTCTGCTCCAAGTGGAAAGTAACTGTACTATGAATAATCAATGCACGCCATGTTCTCGAAGTGATTAGATTTGGCCACATGTCTGACTGACAGTGTTTGCAGGCAGAGGTTGCAAGCAAATGGAGCACTGTGGCTTGGGCTCCGCTCAACTGACAGATCTGAACATCTGTTGTATTCGTCCCAAAAGAGAGAATGAGCGAGCAACGCTTTGCACTTTTCCTACTTTGAGAATGTGAGAAGGTACAACTTCGTTACGACATGGGACGAGATGCCACCGGAATGGGATGTTCGCAGCACTCTCAAGGAGCTAGGAGCTTCTCAGACTCGAGATGCATATCGAACCCAGGCGGCCTGGCCTGACTGACCTCTGGGTCCTAATGCTGATATTAATTCTTTTAAATTTAACCGTCGCGTATCATGGCTAGCCACAACTCTAGAGCTTGCACGTATAGAGACATGTGGTAAGTAGCAGGTCACTCAGAAGATAACACTTCACCAGTCTCTACGAGCTCAGCGTACGCACTAACTGCCCATAACCATAATCCCACTCCTTTCCCATCTCACCTCATCCCGTCCTCACTTCTCGCGCCTCCTCTCCAGCCTAACAACTGCTTCCTCTGGTCTCATTCCATTACCTTCCTAATCCCCAGACTGCAACTAAATAAAGAATGCTCCACTCTCCTACACCCACTTATCGCCAAGCCCACTCCTGTGCACCACCATCATCATCATCAACAACGCCGGGGGCCTGGAACTCAACTCCCCATTACTTCATCATCAATTACAAACTCACTCGCAAAAACTGCCTTCTCTTTATTACTCGCATGCCATGACTCCTCCTGAGTCCTGACCGTGGTCGGGCTGATTGCCAGCAGCAGAGCTGCTGCTGCATTCTCCCCTTTTGTGCGCAGTGCCCAATGATGCTGCTGCTGCAGCATTTGGGTGAAGTTTCTGAACTGAACTCTGAATCATCTCATCATCCATCCTCAGAGGTTGGAGCAGTTACAACATCCGTGGCAGTCAGGAGCTGGCTACTCAGTCTGCCTGGCATGGCGGCCCTAATCCCAATTACATTCTCTCTCTCTCTCTCTCTCTCCCTCCCTCTCTCTCAAACCCCCTCCTCATACTCATAGTCCATCAGAAGCATTTTCACAAGTTTAATATGCAGGAAGATTTCAGGCTTCGGTTCCCAGAAGATCTCATCATCGCCGATCGCATGAACTAATCAGCCAGCTCCTTCTACGTCCCAAGGACCCAAGCTCTGGCAGGCCCAGTTTTCATTCAATTTATCTCGAATGAATACTCAGTCCGTGCCCCCAAACTCTCTCTCTCTCTCTCTCTCTACTTCTCTCCCCCACCCCCAAAGTCTCAGTCTCGGAACTATCAACGCCTGCAATGGACCTCCCCCTTTACACCACTCCCAAATCCTAGCATTAGCATTTGGAAGTTGGCAACTGCTGCTGCCGCTGCTGCTGCAGCAGCAGCAGCATTCCCTTGCAATCTCAGGCCCTGAGGCCCTGAGGGGCCTGAGGCCAGGCCACTCGCTCGCTCGCTCGCTACTAGCTCACTAGCAGCCGCTGGCTGTCCCTGATAATCACTCTAAGTCCCAAGTGTGTAGGAATGATGTGAGAGAGAGAAGAGGCCGAGCTCCAGAGGAATAAATTTATGATTTCCACAGACGTGGTTGCTGCTGCAGCGTGAGGTGGCGAGGGCAGAGCGAGAGAGAGAGCAGTTTTTTAAGCGCTCGGGTGCGGAGTGAGTGAAAAGGCCACCTTCTCATGCCATTAAACTATTGCCGAACAACACCAACAAAGTGCCCTCGACATGTGACCCCCGCCCCGCCCCGCCCCCACTCCCCCTCGGCTCCGTTATGTCAGCGATTTCGTTACTGCTCTGCGCAGCGGACGGACCGCAGATGGACGTCTGCGGCCATCGCGCGTTAGCTGGGGCACAATTCCCGGGACGGACGGACGGCCGGCCGGTCAGAAGGAAGGAAGGCACGGACTTTGACAGAACTCCTCCCGTCCGTCGCCGCGCAGACGGGCGGGCGACTGCAGATTTCTCTCATGTTCTCGTGAAGCGCATGCGACGCCTTTTGGTATTTCTGAATAATAATGCGAGTGTGGACCAGGTGCCATAAAACTGAGTCGCCAAAGACGAGCGAAGTGAGAAGAATTCCGAAACCGAACGTGGTCGAGAGGAGGGCCTTGGTGAACCTTTCCGCAATGCCACACTCGCACTCACGGCTTGATTTCCGGAGAATATCCGGTCAATCTTCTCTGCGGCAACCGGAATGTTTGGTCAGCTTCGCCACGGAAGGAGCTGAGGCTTTGTCACAACACTCCCAGACATCCGTCGAAAACTCGGGCATGTGACTCTTGCGGCTGCCCCGCAGGACCGGTTCCCGTCACCGAGCTCCTCCATGCGGAGGCTTCAATTCCGTCCAACTGCAGTCAACACAGTGAACGAGAATCAAAATGAAAGATTCGAATATTTCAATCTACGGCGGGCAAGAATGCCAATCTCTCGCTCGCTTCTCGGCGACCGAGAGACTTCTCTGGTCATCCATCCGACCGGCGTCTCGTGAATGTTGGGTGCGATATATGTTTAATGTATTGGCGCGATTTACCGTTCGAGGGAGCGATGGCCGAAGTGGCATGCCACGTCAGAGGTGCATGTCCCGACGTGGGAACCCACCATGCAACCGACCAAGCAGAGCGCGGCCTGCCGGATTGGTCTGGGCAGGATGCAGCCATATAATAACACTCTGCAAAAGCGGCACGCAGAGCCGCGGCTGTGCAAACCATACCTTTGCGGAAAGGAATTTGACTCTAACCACACAGGCCATCACATGGTTAGGACAGGACTCTGCAGTCCCAACCGAGTAAAGATGGGGATGTTCGGATGAGCGAATGAGCGAGTGGGAACAGCGCATACATGAGTCATAACATGTGATGGGAGATGCATGCCGGCGCTATGGACGATGAGCCCGAGCTATGTGTGGGTGGGACGCCTTTTTCTGACATGGCATGATATAACGATCGGCCCGCCCGCCCGTCAGTCGGTCAGTCGGTCATCGTTCGATCCAAGCAAGCGGAGCCAAATTCAAATGCCTGGACATCTGACCGCAGTACATGCCAAATCCAGCGGCGCGGTCTCTCGGCCCCGAGGCGAGTGGTTCCCTCGGGCGAGATCCGCCACGGCTTGAAGTGGAAGCAATGACGTAAGGCCGGGCGGCCATTCGAGGACCTCGCTCCGCAGGCTCTGAAGCGGAGGACGAGGGCTGCAGGCGTCCGTCCGCTTGGGCCAACATTCCATCGCATTCATGTTCATGATGTTGGGTGGGGCGAAATCCGGAGAGAATGAAAGAAAGGCAAGCGCCTTGAAGGAGGAGGCGAACGAACTTATTGTGATGTGTGCAAAGCATCGGTTCGCTTGTGTGGAATCGAGCGCACCGGAGTTGCATGTTGTACCCTCTCCGGATGGATGGAAAGATGTGGTTCGACTAGCTGAATTCCATAAGCCTCGAAATCTCATCACACTTGGAGCCAAAGCTTTGCATCTCGTGTTGTTTGTTTATAGCCAGCAAATGCTAGCCCTGTAGCGCGTGCTGTGCTCACAATATTCCCCGCTCAACCAGTCGACTGGATCCGCTGGAGGAGAAGGATTGCGACGCAGCCATGACCTGGGGGGACGTTGACTATTTTTCAGATACAAAAAAGGGTTGACACTCCCCCCTCTCCTCGAGTCGACTACTGTACTACATCAAGCAATGGAAATCAAAATGAAAAGGTGACGCGCGAGGCATTGAGTATGTCAACACCTTAACCCACACTCAACCGTTTTTCTCACTTTTCTCCCATTTATTCCCTCTTTCTTCGACACCTCCTCATGTTTTCTCAAGATTCCCAAGTTTTTATTCCCTTGTAAATATAGAAGTACACGGAGGAGCGCGGGGAGTTGGTGCAGAGTATAGGGGTTGTTGTACGCAGTGTTTGAGTTGAGGACTGATTACGTCGGAGAGGAGAACAATCCTAAGAAGACATGAACGCACAAACTTTGGTACTTGCCAGACGAGTCTTTTTGGTCTCGTATCCACAACGTTGTGGTCTCGCCTTCCAGACGTAAGCCTGTACCTTTAAATATGCGCAAAAGGGTTGACATAGCCTACCTCTGCTATACACTCTCCACCGTCTGTACATGTCAACACCTTGACCTACACTCCACCATTTCTCAGTTCTCTCTTTTCCCTCTCTCCTCCGAATTTTTAAGAGGTCTTTTTCGATGCTTTGGAGTAGTTGCAAGGACTTGAGTTGGAATCAGGTAGCTTCATCTCTCTTTTGCACATGCTGCCTTTGAGTCATTATGTGATATATATAGCATCATCCTCTAGAATCTTGGATTGCAAGGCTGGCTTGGGTTAGGTTGCGATACTGATCTCTCTTCGCATTCCTTGCGGCAAGAAACAAGAACTGATGTGATATACAAGGAAAAGATGAGGGGAGAAGGAAGAAAGACGTTTGTGTGACCAAGAACATTATCCTCTTCTATATAACGTACTGGAATGGCGGTTGCGAGTACGGGGAGATTACGATACTTATTAACATCACTCTAGCCTCCTTTTGCACCCCTCTTCTACTCGACAGTACGTCCGCTTTGGAAGGATAAACATTGATTTTCCTGCGGTACAAGTTCCTTGTCCTAAGCACGGCCGGCCCTGTCCAAATACTTAGAGTCAAGGATAGAATATTTGAGCAGTCGTTCATTCTGAATGTTGTCCAAAGTTGTGAATTGATTTACACTTCAAGTGAAGTTCAAGTTCCAAACCCGATCTTCCCAGTGAAGAAAACCGTTCACTTAAAAGTATGAAAGTTTGCAGAAAATAGGAATACAGTAATCAAAAAAATGTTCACGAAGGGCTTAAAGCTTTGTCAACAAGCACTACAATGCATTTACTTACTCCCAGATGGGACCAAAAAAAAATAAATTTAAAAATGAGTTCATTAATTAAGTCAGGCGTGTAACAAACAGACAGGGCAGACTGTTGCTAGAAAGTGCAGTTGTTTCTGTTTCTGTGTACTCTAACAAGACCTGCCATTATCTTTCTACTTGTCGGTAAGATGACTTCATAGCGTAACCGTGATTCCAACAAAACAATTGTAGTGAGAGAATGGCTGCAAGGCAATAGCTCTGTAAATATCCATCGAACCACATACAAAGTCAAAGACCGCCCACTTAAACAATGCGGGAAGTGCCCCTTTATCCAGCCCGAAAAGTTAACCTTTTCACTGCATGATTGTCGTAGACTCTTGAGGCAGAAAAGGTGTGATTATGTGTTTAGTTTCGACACTTTAACAGGATCGTCTAGCGATCCTTCCTTCGAAGTCATGCGCAGTACGAGCATGAACTAGAGAACAGGAGCGGAGTAGGGAAGGGGAAGAGACACGGTGGTTAGGGAAACGCGGTACTCGGGTTGTGGACTAAAACTGAGCTTGCTCTTGGAACGCGGTTAGACCAGCACCAGCCCCGCCCCGCCCCGCCCCGCCGGCTCGAGAAGAGGACCGGTACTCGGGACCTTTTGAGGAGCTCCGAGGTCTAAAATAACAGAGAGGGGAGAGTGGAAAACCCCGAGACGGGGAAAAGGCGAGAGCGAACGTGGAAGTTTCTTTCCATCCACTTTTTGCTATGTTAAGCAATAATATAAGATACGAGGGAACAGATATGATTTTTGTACCATACTTTCTTCTTTCATTTCTCCAGTCAAAAATAGACACGAATATCTCCTCCCCACTTCCCCCTAGAATTTATAGTCGACAACTTGATCTCCACAATACCTGCTCCATCCGGACTGCACTAATAATTCCGAACGTCCAGCGGGAACTAAAACAGGATTGCTGATATGATTCAATTCTGCTGGTGTATGGGCCTACTTCATGCTCTAGGGCTATGGCTGGCTGGCTGGCTGGCTCACTGACTCGGGACCCGCTTTACCTGGCTGCGGTAAAGCTCCAGGCTCCAGGCCCATCTACGACTCGAGAAATATGAGAATTACGCAAATCAGGCGCTGCGACTCACCCCCTGATGCGGATGGATGGGCGGCAGACGGAGACGCGGCACCCTCGCGGAGGTTAGCACGACCGACAGAGCCTAACAGAATTCAGAGCTGAGTCAAAGACAGGACCTGGACGGGCGATCTGCTGGCGCCGGAGCGGGAGCGACGTAACAGTCTTCAATTCTCCGTTAAGGAGGAACTGCGTACGCGCGGTCGGTCCCCAACCAGGACGCGACGGAAGTTTGAACTTGACAAGGCACGGCACGGAAGCGATGGACCGAAGGCCTATGCATGGGCAGCATGCATCCTAGGCCATGCATACGAGTCCTCACATGCCGCGTGCTGGGCATGCACATCTGTATAGTGCTTAACCTCCATACGAAGCTCGGCCCATTAATCATAAAATATGGCGCGTTTAGGAGTAGTCTCGTGACTCCTAATTAGCCTTCCGGCCCGTAAGCATCTTCGGACGTTAGAGATATTTTCGCGCTGCTCCACGACTGGGTAAGTAAAAGCCTCCCGTCCCTTCTCTCTGCGCCTAGCGAGCGAGAGCGCGAGCTTAGCTAACCGCATTGAATCCGTCCGAACCGGACATGGCCCTTTTCGTCCACTTTTGCTGATAAAGGCGCCATTACTCTCGGGGTGCCCTTCTTTCTCGCCCCTGGAGAAAATCCCCTTCTTTCGGCCTCTTCTCTTCTCTTCTCCTTTCGACTGGACATTTCTTCTTCCTCTTCTTCTTCGACTTGTGATGACGGAGAAAGCAGCACTTTCGCGCCTCTCCTCTCGCTCGGGCCGAGGACGCCAGTACAGTACGCTCGGTACAATGCTCGCAGAGTATGCTTCAGAACTCATTTCGTCTCCACTTTACACGATCGTCAGCGCATCTCTCACTCGCTTTTCAACGAACTTTTACAGTTCGCTCCCTCTTCTCCTCTCCTCTCCTCTCCTCTCCTCTCCTGCTGCAAATCCTGGACCAGTTCCTACATCCGTTTCGTCTGCGTCCTTTTCTTTCCGAGCTCCTCTTGTTGCGGGCATTAATGCTGCTGCTCTGGACGGAACTCGGCTAGAGCCTAGCATTCCCTCGCTCTCTTCCTTCCTTCCTTCCTTCGAAGTTCGGTCCGTCCGTCCGTCCGCCCTTATCGAAGGACGACAGCTTTAATGTCATGGCTTCTCGGCAAATTTGGACGCTCTCGTGGGAGTCCATGCCGTCTGTACGCCGAAGCGAACATTCCATGCGCCGGACAGCGTGCGCAGAGCTCCTGATGTTTTCAGCAATCCACGGACCTATACATCGTATGCATGCGAGACCATTTTCGAGTTTGGTTTGGTGTAATGCGAGATGACATTTCTTTTCCAGTATCCTTGTTCGTCGACACAAGCACCTCGATCGTTGACTTATCTTATCCACTGCCATCATGAACTAGATTTCTTTCTCCCCTGGAAAAGGATCATTGCCATCCTCGTTCGCTTGCTGTGACATTCGCGATCCACCGCAAGGACGCCATTCTGTTTGACTTTGCCACACGCCGGGCTCCGACGTGATCGACACCTGTCCACCGATGGGTAGAGCCCGTCCACATTCCCCGAAAGACGGAAGCCTCCTCTCGCCAACGCCTTGTCATTACATTTCAATGTATGTCAAGTGCATCGCGGTATGACGTACATCCCGCGCATCCATCATACCGATTTGCAATTAGGCATTTAATCATTGTTCTTCATTTTCACTTTTAGTTTCTGCGATAATTATGATACTCTTCGAAGAATATTTTGAGTAGAATTAACTTTGATCTAGTTAAATTGTTTTACTGAACAAACTTACTAAACTTTTCTAAGAATCAATACTATTTCAAATTGAATATAATCATTTGATCTAAAATTTCAACCTCATATATGAATAAAATTAATGTAAATTTGCAGTTAAATCATTTCAATATTAAATTTTTTATTTTCAATATCATTTAATATATATGATTTTTTAAAATATCATCATAAAATAAAATTTTATGATTATTTCTTTTATTTCTTAACAAAATATTAAGAATATTTTTTTAGTGTATACTTGATGTTGGATTTATAATTAATTTTTATTCTTAATATTTTATTATTATTGATTGAAATTCTAAAATACAATCAGGACTTCAAATTGTGAAATAATTATTTTATTATATTGGTTTTATTTTGCAAAAAAAAACTAAAATTTACCCGAGAAATGATATTAGATTTGAATCTCACATAAATCACAGTGAATTTTAACTATTACTTTACAAAATTAATATAATAATATTTTTATTATATTATTATATTAAATAAATCATTAATGTAATGATAACGATTAATCTAGCATGAAATTATTACATTAAATGTATTAAATTTTAAATTTTGACCTAAAAATTAAGTGTTAAGAAACATTTTCAAAATTATAAATAATTTTCAATCAATACTATGTTAAATGTACTTTACGTATATTCTTCGCTTTATATCATTTGATATAAAGCATCATCAAGGTGTACAGATTTTTCATTAAACTGTAAATATAAAAATATAGATAGATAAAATTAAAATTCATTTTTACACTTGAGTTTTATTCTAATATGATTTGAACAATAATTTTTTTATTATGATTGTTCCAAGTAAATTAAAGATTAATTGTTTCAGTTAGACTAAAACATTGTGTATATAATCTTTTATTGAGCATTTTTCATTTTAAATATAAAATTTATTACCTTCCTATGATATTTAAAAAAAAATTGTTATATTGAAATGGTTACAAAATTTCAACAATATTTATGGTTAATAAATTTTGAAATATTTATTCACCTTACATTGATGCTCAAATGATGTTGATATTTTATTTTCATTGAAATCTAAAATTCATTGTAAAGAAATTTTTGTCACACAAACGTTCAAATATTGAGATTATTTTTTACTTCAAAAATCCTTGAAATTATAGAATTATATGACAATTATGTGTATGCTCAAGGAGATTCATCATATATTTGTTGTGTTGACTATGTTGGTATCATTTAATATTGTGTATTTTTAATTTTCACAGTAAACGGTATTAAACTTAGAGATAAATTAATTACCATTTTGAGCAAAAAAAACTTGCAAAGAACTTGTGACAAATCAAAGTGCATAATTTTATGAATAAAGTTGAAATGGGTAATGAAGAAGTTTAAATTGTTAATTGCGCATAAATGTTAAAGTGATGAGAAAAACAAATATCAAAATGACTCAATACTCTCAATGAGTATCACATCAATTCTAGATGACCAAAAAAACTTGAATGATGATAAATCAATCAACGGTTATTATGTTCAATTTGAATATATTTGTTTTAGTGTTGATATTTTGTTACTGTAGTGTTTGATGAAAACAAAATGACAAATATTCTTGTGTTCATCATGATGCTCGAATTCACTTATAATTATTGTAATTATCATAAATTTTATGGTGTTATATCTTTAAGTTCAAGATGTACATTTTTAAATTTTGTATCATTTAACTTAAAATCTATATGAACACAATTTGTATGGAATTCTTATGATTGTATTGTTAACGTTTTATGGCCAATAATATTACTAAAGTGATTGAGATCTATATATGATTACTTTTTCTTTTCTATGTAAACAACCTTTGTTGATAATGATGATTATTTTTTAATTAATGATCTCTATTTTATTGATAATAAAATTTAAAAGTAACATAAAAATAGCATAATTTTAGTAACATTTTTTTGTTATAATCTATTTTTTTCTCCCCATAGTTTCATTAATCAAGAAGAAGACAAAAAATAATGTGAAATATTAGTTATGTTTCTGAATAGAAAATATTTTTTCTGTGATGGTATATAAATCTATGTATCAAACAAGAGACAAAAAATGATG